ATTTTCTTCTTCGTGATGAGAGTACAGCTGCATCTTTCTCGAACCTAACGTTCTATGTCAAGTTTAGGTTCAATTGGTTTCACTGATTCTGAACACCGTCAAGTTGTATCTCCTCAGTTCCGCAGCTATTTGATTAGTCCTTACGGTCTTCCACAGTGTCCGGACATTCTATATACGATTGTTAATTATTAATCTGGATGTTGAAAGGCGTTTCAGTCTCATGGCTTCCAAATAATATCGTCTTTCATCATGAGGCGTCATAATTCTTGTTGGGGTGATCCAGAAATTTTCTCGCAAAAGACAAAAAAGGATCAGGAAACACTAAGAAGCATTTCATCTAATCAGCGTCGATTTGACGCTTTAGCCAGAAACATCAAGGAAGTGAAACGTCACATGCAGAGATTTTGGTTGGCTGATTGCTATACTGCTACTATGTTTAGTAGCATTCCAGAATTTTCCGCACACCCAAGGTCACCTAAAACACTATAAAAACTCTAGATTTTCTGCACTAGAACGAACCTTCAGAGTAAAGTGCTTCTCGCATATTTTGTGCCTTCTCTCTCCTGTTCAGGTGGCTTTGTAGTTCTAGCTTGGGAGTTACAAGAATAGCTTACGAACCAAATATAGCGTTCAAACTGCATGACTTACCAATTCTTCTGAATAAAAATCATTGAAATTTGAGGGCAGAGTTTAAATTGTTTAATTGATTTATTCTGGTTAGCGTTTTATAGTAAGGTTGGTTGTTACGGGATGGAGTTATTAATCCAGTCTCCTACTTTGCTTATTAATTTGTGCTTTGTACAAGTAGTCACCTGGAATCGGTACAAGCATAGTTTATTAACCAGCTTACTAGCTAATATGTTTTTAGTCATTTACGATATTTGGTTGATCTATTCTTTGTCAGATTTTACTTAATCGATATGAGATTTATGAAGATTGGTGAATGTTGTTGTGATCACGATTGGATTGCCGTTGAAAATCAGACAAAACTGAGCAGCCATTTTGTCCCAGTTTACGACTTCTCAAGAGTGTGGTATACAGCTCTATGAAGGATCGAACCTAGCACATTTGGCTCTCGTGGCAACCACTTAATCATAAAGCCACCTATTGGGTACCCAATTATTTGCATATCTCTATATTCACCAAACAGATAATTTCCTCCAGTAAATAAACTACATACATCTCTATGATTATCTACATTTAGATCAATAGATAACTGTATCACGATATTTTATGTGCCGAACAACTCATGGCATAATCCGAATTCATTTCCCATATTCAGTGATTCAGCTGCCGGATGATTTGACTAGGGCTTAGTGACATTTCACTGGCCCTACAATATATATATATATATATATAACATTCCTAACTAGTTACATCATCAAATTAAATAATTTAATCCAGAACATAAATTAATCACAAAAAGCCACCTGTTTTGCCTTTGTTCTCGAAGTGCAAATTTTGCAAACAGAGTAGCACAAAGACGTGAAGACTTCTGAAGAATTCAAAGTCAGTCAAGAATGTATTGAACAACAAACACAGTAATGGCACAATATAGGAGGAACAATCTAAAACAGTGACAGAGTTATTCATTTTATTGGTTGTTTGGATCTTTTCATTGATGTTTAGGACTGTAATTGATCAGTCACTTTTTGGCATATGTACGTTCTGTGCGGATTTCTCCGATGATACCTTAAGTCACAAGTATTATTATGTAGATCAACAGCGTGGATGATCTATGTCGAAATGATTGGAGGCTTACTGGAGTTAGACGTGAGTGGTGTGACAAACTAGCTAACGTCGAAGTCACACTTCGCGGTCTGCACCTTACATAGATTACCCCATTGACGTATCAAGGTACTATAGATGCTTTGAAGACTGTACAACACAGAGGACGTTATTACAGAAATATATTAGTTAAAGTAGACACAAGCGAAGGTAAGACCACTGCCGCATGGGCCAGTCCATGGCGTACGATTAACTGATGCGCGTTTGTTGTCCTTGACCTCGACGAGGATTGATGATTTTGTTCCATATTCAATGGCTAGGGCTCAGTGGAATTTCACTGGCCCTACAATACTCCCCACCACCAGATTCAACGGCCGTTTGAATCGGTACCAAACATGTCGGTAGTCGCGCGCCGGAGATTGCCAAACGATTAATACGAATCCTCTGGGTATTGCCGAGCTGCAAAACAAATGGAAACGAGGCGGCAGAAACTGATCGAGAAACAGCAAGTAACAATATGTTAGTAGAACGTTGGTTGAACGTAAAGCCATTAACCATAGAAATAATCAAAAGAACATAACTTCGCACTGAAATATATAGCTTTGACAAGTAAGTGAGTTCCTCAGACGAGAAACGCTAACTTTGCCGCAAGAGTAATAATCCCATAGCGATAGTAGGATAAGTGTATTATCAATCGATACGGATGTATATACTGCCATTGATTTAAAGATGAATGTCAGACAGTGTCGTTGACAACTTCTAGCTATATCTATATTTAACAGACTAACTGTAAGTACAGAAGTATAGTCGTCAAGAGTAATCGTGATTTCGTCATGCGAGGCTATTAATTCACTTGTAGTCAGTTTTGAAAGTCGGTGACTGCTGTTACAGTCAGTAAGGGTCGAAGGCTACAAATCCAGAGCGAATACGGCACTGTGAAGTCTCCAAAAGATGATGAACGATGCTTGCTGATTGTTTGTTCGATTAGCGAATAGAAAAATATCGAAAAGACCATAAGAAACCAAGAGTGTTACTCTGGACTCATGTCAATGATACCAGTGAAAAACGCTGTCAGTGTTGGGATAGAGGCGACAATGTCGTTTTCAGTGTGCAGGAGATTCGCTCGACTGCACAAACTGATGATTCGCGCAGATGATAATGTCGTCAGATCACCAATTGAACTGGACAGGTTTTAAATCGTCGAATAGTTGAGCAGCCGATTGATGTACCGAAATCATCTTTTAGATAACAGACACGAGGAAATACTTCATAATATAAAGTACGATATCGAAGTAGAATAACTACAATAGTTCTGATGTATTATAAAGTCAAATTTAAATAACATCGTTCTTACGTATACTGATAGTTGTGCTGAACGTTCGTCTGGGTATTATTAGCGTAACAGTTGGACGTTTGGAGAAAAGTATGTACAAAAACTATGGTTGGGTTCGTGGAGAATTTTCGACGACGTTTAGATATTTTACAAGCCATTATTGCATACAAGTAAATCGAAAATGGAATTAAAATGACTGTCGTGTAATAAGGAGATCAAGCCATGATTTATCGTGTGAAATAATAGCAAGTACAAGGAGTATAGTAAACATTAATTAAAATGGTAAACACCAATGTAACTAAAGTTTAGAGGGTTCAGGTAACGTGGCCATTTCGTACAAGGCTGATGCAAGGAGCTTGTTACCCAGCGTTACGTGACATATTACGTACGACAAAGTGTCTACTCAGGACATGAAATAAGATTGTTCGTGTACATGCAATATGTTTTACCATATTATGTCGATTAACGAGTCACAAATGTACATGATTTCGACTAACACTTAACGGAAGTGACAGAATATATGACTACTTAACATAAAAGCAACTACGAAATGTTACTACGCATCATAAAGATAGTACGAAATAATCTAATGATTTTATGAAACTCGCCTGGGTTACTCTTGCTTACAAGTAATGAAGATACGAAGTGGACAGTAGTTGAAATCTGAATTATATACGAGGTACTGTTGATTAGATTGTTCGATTAACACAGCGTTGTAGACTGAATTAGTACAAGTCCAGAATAAATTCAAGCCAAATACGCAGCATTGCCTGACGAACAATCTAACCGAGATCTAAGATTGCAGAACATTTATAGTTTGAACTCACCGTAAATTTCTAGCATTTGTATCCTCTGTTTGGCCATGGAACTCGGCAATTGGAAATTAGGCAGGCGGTGGTCAAAAATAGAAATATTCTAGTGGATAGAGGTTAAGCAGGAAGACGAATTTAAAGTCGACAGTTAATCTTTTCTCGCATAAACTATTGGATAAGTTACAAACCGATGTGCGTTCGTGTTGCTTTGTGGCTATACACACGAGTGGTTGATATTTTAACAGACATATTACACAGTAGCATTTACATGCTGCTAACGCTTGTTAAAGAACCACGATAGCCGATTATAACCGTAGTTGACTAGTTAGTTCTACCTACTGAACTAGTTATTTCAGTTTAAATACTAATCAACATTGACATGAAGCAACGAAAGTTCACAGTAACAGATTAACATAGGCGATGATAAAAATGGAAAAGTATAAGTATAGATTGCAACAGTAAAGACTATAATGATAGGTTGCGTTATTCGCAGTCTTGCTCACCAGTGTAGATCACCAGCGTGGATGATCTACGTCGAAATGATTGGAGGCTTACTGGAGTTAGACGTGAGTGGTGTGACAAACTAGCTAACGTCGAAGTCACACTTCGCGGTCTGCACCTTACATAGATTACCCCATTGACGTATCAAGGTACTATAGATGCTTTGAAGACTGTACAACACAGAGGACGTTATTACAGAAATATATTAGTTAAAGTAGACACAAGCGAAGGTAAGACCACTGCCGCATGGGCCAGTCCATGGCGTACGATTAACTGATGCGCGTTTGTTGTCCTTGACCTCGACGAGGATTGATGATTTTGTTCCATATTCAATGGCTAGGGCTCAGTGGAATTTCACTGGCCCTACAATTATAAGCAGAGATAGATGATGACTAGCAGTGGAATCCAAATACATCCGTTCAACATGTCCCTAATGGAAAGAAACATACATTCTAGATTTCATTGTTAACTATCATCAATCTGCTTATAGTCTTATATAGTCAATTATATTATGAAATGAAAAGCAATAACATTGTTTATAGTCATCATTATATATTAACCATACGTCTACAGATCTCTCATAAATTACACTTAACTTTAATGACATAAATGTTTACAAACTTATTTTAATAAGGAAAATACGAAGAATCATCTATTTTATAACTCAATATGTATGTAATTATTTTATCTGGAGGGATTTTCAAAATAATATTCGATGAATTCATTTCATAGTTTTTTATGACACATTGAGATATTGGTTCCGTTGGCCAATGAAGTCTACGTGATATAGCATCTTCTTTTAATTGATCAGCCGTTAGTGTCATCTCTGTAACATCAATTATTGTGATACCATAAAATAAATGTGAAACATCTATATATGTATGTTCAGAATTGTCCAATGTATGCAAATTTTCAAATCTGACAAGAATTTGTCTTTTCGATTCTGGTTTGTCAACAATATACAATGGCCATGATGTTAAACTAAGCAAATGAATGTTACACGGTAAAGATTTTGTGATTCCACTCCATCCATTGAAATGATTTGATAAACTTTGTTTATTCACTGAAATAAACATTGGAATAGTTGGTCTACGCATCGTTTGAGCCAACTTCCTATCTTCATATTCAATTAAATATAATTCATCAAAAAGTATTTTATGTGTACCTCGAACAATTAAACCTATTAGGTAAAAAAGTCAAGTTATTATATTCAATGTCAAGTATTTATCAGATAGAATATAATTTTATTATAATAATCCAGAGAAAATTCAAAGTGTTGGGTTGATCCAGAAAACTTCTCTCAAAAAGACAAGAAAGGATCTGGAAACACTAAAAAGCATTTTATCCAATCAGCGTTCACTTGAAGTTTAACCAGAAACATCAAGAAAATGAAAAGTCACATGTAGAGCTTCTGATTGGCCGATTGATATACTGCTGCTATGTTTAGTAGCATTCCAGAATTTTCCGCACACCCAAGGTCACCTAAAACACTATAAAAACTCTAGATTTTCTGCACTAGAACGAACCTTCAGAGTAAAGTGCTTCTCGCATATTTTGTGCCCTCTCTCTCCTGTTCAGGTGGCTGTGTAGTTCTAGCTTGGGGGTTACGAGAATAGCTTAGGAACTGAATATAGCGTTCAATTAGCAAGATTTATCACAAAGTATTGTCAAATACTCAATGATAATCGGGTAAATATTGACTATTGTCAACTGCTTAACCCCAATCACAGAACAGCATGACATTAATTCATTCAAATGTTTAAATACATTATGGGTGTGGTGCATGAAAACTCGTCGTAACACGAGAGAGAGAGAGAGAGAGAGAGTGAGAGCATGAAATTGGTCCTTTTCTCAAAAACAGTACATTGAATTCAGTGATGTAGTGAGTTTTTGAAATTATAATTGTGTGAAACTAACGTCCGTGACCAAATAACTAAGCTATGAAGCTCGAAATGATTAATGTTATAGGTAACGAGAACACAGGTGAGGGAAAATCAAGTGTACTGCAACACAACACTATAGAATAACTTAGTAAAATATGTGGACCATACAGTGAATACTTCATTTGCAAAGTGTCAATGAATCTCCTCAATCTTCGTTTCCACACTATTCATTCTCTGTTCTCATTCTTTTTTCTTTGGTCTTCTTAGCCTTCTGCCTCCAAGCCTTTCACATTCGATTGACGTTATATACTACTTATATCTATCGACATCAGTAGCACATACCACAATACGATCAATTGTTTTCTTATGCTGAGAATCACATGTTGGTGATGAAAAAATCTAGCATCAATTCATAAATATTGTTGAGCTTAGTTCTCATCTAGAAAAGAAAATATATCTTACATAATCTGAGTTGTAATGGTAACCATGATCTACAATTGTACACCACAGTTAACTCAGGTTAAAAATTGTGACAGTGGAGACATTATAGGTTACTCCTTTACACTCAAACAACTCCAGGGTCTCAGTAGTTGATACTTATGTATTCTGTTGTACAACCAAGCCATTAATGCCTGATAAATTCATTATTCAAAGGAAGAATACAAAAAAACTACATGAGAAGTAATATTGTCAAGGTTTGAATACTAATATTTTAGTGGCCCGATTTCTGACTCCAATTGGATGGTTTCTGATCGCTATCGAAATATAAATACCGTCAATCCTCGTATATAATAATTGACTTAATCCGCTTAAGTGTATAACGGAAATAAATTAAGCCGAGTACGAGAATGGATTTCTGAATGCATATATTTTGTAAACTCACTGATCTGGACAGTAAATCAGAGGGATGAAGCAAATAGAAGAGAGCGAAGCGAAATGATGTGCAGTGGATAAGATATATGAGCCAACGACCTTTGACCAAGCATTAATTAATATTTAGTCATACAAAATTAAGTTAGATATGTGATGAATGCAATAAGAAGGGCACATACATATGCGCTCATATAAAAACAGTCAGGGTTGATAGGTGAATAATTAACAAGGTCAAAACGTGACTCAAGTAGAATGAATAGACTGGCCTGACGAAAGCTAGAATATGGTATATGAGCTCCAGGAGAACCCTTCCACGATGCAGGCAACCGGGAAGCGATAACTGCGCTCATACTTCCAACAGCACTCAAGACCACTGACTGACACTACAATACTTACAGCTCAAAAGAGTGTGTAGATTGTCAAAATGATCCAAAAAGAGACGTGTGTACAATGAACTTGGACACATGAATAAGTTACTTACCGACAATACCCTCTTCTCCCTCAACTACATACAGAATTGTGAAAACGTGCAATCACTTAGGGATCACACAATAAATCCGATAAAATATTGATCATTAGATCTAGTTACTTTACGCTAACCAATATTATTATCTATCTAGATCCAAAGTTTTGATTTCCATATAAATAAACAACCGATTTCATGCATCTGTTAGTGGTGATATCATTCAATGATGATGAAGAGCAACTTATCTACAACTGAAGGACATCTGGAACTTACAACAACTCTCAACCTACACCAAGGTCATAATTTTCAATACAAATGTCAAGACAGTTCTACTGTATGGAGTGGAAACCTGGAGAACTACGAAGGCCATCATCCAGAAGATACAAGTGTTTATTAACAGTTGTCTACGCAAAATACTTCGGATCCGTTAACCAGACACTATCAGCAGAAACCTACTATGGGAGAGAACAAACCAGATGCCAGTGGAGGAAGAAATCAGGAAGTAGTGCTGGAAGTGGCATAGGACAAACGTTGAGGAAATCACCGAACTGCGACACAAGACAAGACCTCACTTGGAATCCCCAAGGTCAAAGGAAAAGAGGGGGACCGAAGAACACATTACGCCGAGAAATGGAGACAGACATGAGAAAATTGAACAACAGTTGGATAGAACTAGAAAGGAATGCACAGGACAGAGTGTGTTAGCGAATGTTAATTGGCGGCCTATGTTCCATTGGGAGTAACAGGCGTAAGTAAGTAATGTTTATATAAATGATTGATATTATGAAAAGTGTATTCATCTTATCTTCTATAAAACTATTCTCTATTTAAACTTCAAATGATACTTACCTTTATTGTCTAATCCTAATTCCATTAATGGTTCATTTACACCTAAATTATCATCATTAACTGTTTGACGATGTAACATCAATTCTAGTTCACCATCTTGTATACTTGTTCCACCTTGACTACGATCTGTATAGATTGCTAAACCGAATGGAATTTTCTTATTCAACCATTTGAGTAAAATATTTTTAATCATAATTCTATCGACAATTGGATAATAATTACCACTAATATTTTGTACTTCATCATACTGAATTGGTAGACTCCAATCATCTCTGCGATTACGTAAACGTTTTATTAAACGTCTACCAGATGAGTCTGTGAAGAATTCACCTTAAAGATAGAAATAAATTGAAATTTAAGATATCAGTAAATTAAGTTGAACAAATCATAAAGTAATATTCATAGGAGTATATTATAGTAATTTGATAGTTGAATTCATGAGTCAACTAATGCTAGACCATCATAGAAAACCTGGAAGTACTTGACGGCCGTTTCGTCCTAGTATGGGACTCCTCAGCAGTGCGCATCCGCGATCTCGCCTCACAAGATTAGAACTCAGGATCTATCAGTATTGCGCGTGAGCGCTTAACTTCTAGACCACTTAGCCGGTGGCGCAATTTCGTGGATTGGTTAAAGTTAGATATTAACACTATCAGATGCCGTCTCAGTGGTCTAGAGGTTGAACGTTCGCGCGCGAGAGACTGAGGAATCCTATATTAGGACGAGACGGTCGTTAAGTGCTTCCAGGTTTTCCATGGTGGTCTATTAATAATTGACTCATGAATTCAACTATCAAATTAATATTCAGAAACTATTTAATTTCAAACAATCGAGGTAAATACTAAGAACGTTTTCCTATATACCATAGGTTTATGTAACCTGACTGAAGTCATGATTATATTTGAAGGTAATCTTATCTACAAACTAACTTCAAATTAGAAATTGTTGAGGTTTTCAAAGAGAAGTAAACATATTTTTTCATAGGTCGGTTGCAACTTATAAAAAATTGACAGTGATTAAAGATTCTAAACCTAATTTCAAACTTAGTAGTCCATAGGTTCTATACTTTCTTTATAAAGTAAGTTTTTGGAGTTCGATCAATAGTGAAATTGTCGATATGCACTCCTGATGAATCTCAGATTGTAATGAAACAACTGACTAACAGTTCTCATGTTTATCTTCTTCATACGTATTGATCTCTTTCAACTGAAGTTTTAATTTTCTGATACAGTCATATAAATATACACAATCTGTTAAATTACACAAACTAATATAATTTCAATGATCTGTGATTGATGAGCGACACTTCTTGGATGTGTGAATTCTTTTCACGCTTTATAAGCTGGGTAAAAAGAGTTTCATTAAGTGATTTCAATTTAAGGTTGCGGACTAGTTTCGAGAGGGAATTCTTGGAGTTATAGTGAGAAGTCTTGGCCAGTGGACATCGACCGTGTGGGACATGAGGCAGTTACTTACAGAAGACAATTTAACATGTTCTCATAATGTCATATATTGATTGAAGTTAGACATTAACACCGTTGGGTTCCGGCTCATTGGCCTGGAGGTTCGGGGTTTGCATGAGACCAAATGTTGTGAATTAGAATCCCGTGTGTGGAATTATGGATTTGTTCTTCTGAAGAGTCCCATACTAGGCTGTCCAGTGCTCTCAGGTTTCTAACAATGATCTAACATTGATCGGTTCATGATTTTATTAAGTGATTTCCGTTGGTTCTCAGGTATTATTATTTTTACATTGATTAATCATTGAGTAGTAAATAATATCAAGTTCACCCAATTCTCAGAGGCGACCAAATAATGTAAATCAAATTTGATACGTGAACGCCAATCCAAGTGTTTTTCACACATTTTACCTTACTTTGAAGTACTCCTAATACATTGTTCAGTGAGGTATGTGTAATAATATTGTAGAGAAAACAATGTCCTCGTCCCGTTAACGAAAGTCTATAAATATTCTAAACAATATTTCAAGGTATATGACTCGTTAAATAAGTGCTCACAATACCTGTATCACTATATTGAACATCATTTCCATCGATAGTATATCGCACTATAGTTTCTCGACCAATCATATCAGATGGAAATGGACCAATTGTCCATTCAATTTCTAATTCTCCATTATGGTAAAGACGTACAATCAAAGAAGCCCATGAAGAATATTTAATATAAGCTTCATCGACTAAAGTTCCACGTGTTATCTTTAAATATTTAAATAATTTAAAAAAGAATATGAAATGATCAATTTCAGTATATAATTTAAATAGAAACATGGGAATTTTACAGATATGTACACTCCTTGAGTCTAATAAATTCTGAATCATACTATCACTACTACTACTACTACTACTATTACCTACCATGAGTTAGTAATACTCTCGGTTTCTCTATATATTAGTTTCACAATAAATTTTCAGTTAGTTGGTCACTCAAGTTATAAAGACTTAATGAATTAATTTAAACTAATCAAATAGACTAACAGAAATCACTTACCATCACATATGTTATGTAATCTGATTCGGATTGAATCTATGTAGCTGATTTCTTCTTTGAAAATGCCACTGATATTGTTTATAGATATGTTGGCAAATGATCCATAATGTAATTCACATGTTCAGAGAATTATTATTTGCATTCTAAATATGTTACTCTTTGTTCATAATTATAATTTTAACATAATTATGAAAATTTAGTGGTAGTTCTGATAAGCTAAACAATAAACGTAGGATGAAATATTCAGTAAAATATGTTAATTGTTGGACTTGTTTTCTACCTGCGTGCTGTACTTATTGGCAACTATTATCAAACCATATCTTCAACCTTACAATAAATATTGTTTCTTCAGAGATAGTAACATTCACTATTTTTATTATAGACATTGTCACTAATCATTACGTTTCTAAATGTAATTTCATTCAGTGAATCAATGTATTCTGGATATATTTTGTTAATTAATTAATTAAGGAAATATCTATTTTGGATATCTTTCTTCTAGTTTAACTTTTAGTAGTCCAGGTTCTGACTCCATCTGGATCGCTTTTGATTGCTATTGAGATATACATATCGCCAATCTTCGTATGTAATTATTGACGTTAGTGAATAATGGAATTAAAATAAGTCAAATATGGGAATGGATTTCGAATATGTACATTTCATGCAGTCAGTCAGCTATAACGTAGGACCAGGCACATATTTACACTTCATTATTGATTTGAACAGGCGATCAAGGAGACAAAGTAAAGAGCGATGAGCAAAGCAGATGGGATAACGCAAGTGAACTAACTCCTTTTAATCATTCGTTAATCGAAAATAAGCTACAGATATGTGATGAATAGAATAAGAAGTGTACACGCATATGCGCTCATATAAAAACAGCGAGGGTTGATAATTGAATAATTAACACGATCTATACGTGACTCAAGAAGAATTGATAAATTGGCTTGTCCAGAATCTAGAATACGGCATATGGGCTTAAACATAGTAACCGTCACTACATATTTCTTGTAATTATGATATTAATAAGTAATATATAAATTATAATAGAAATTTCATAATAACACCATTTGAAATCTGATGTTGAATGATATGGACTCGAACTGAACTGGACGCATCAATATCAGTCAGTAAGTTAGCTACAACGTAGGACCAGGCACATATATGCATCAGTCCAAGTTGCCATACCTCATTAGCACAACAAGATGAACACTGGATTCAAAGAAGCAGTAAATTCAATGGTAGTAATATATAAACATGTACCCAAATGGCTGCAAAAACAAATACAATCAAGTGACCCAATAAGAGCAGAGGATAAACATCCATCATCCTCTATTGCTAAACATATAATTGAAACAGGGCACAAGATTGATCTAAACTCGGCTTTTGTGGTATTATATAAAAGTGTAAAAGGGCGTATACTAAGGTTTATTGAAGCCTTAGCCATACGAAAATTCAAACCCCCTTTGTGTATTCAAAAACAGTTTGTTCTTACCTTAAACCTACCCTGGTAATATTGACTTATTATCCAGAGTGATTAAGTTTTGAATTGTGTTCAGATTATTATTATTATTACTCTTATTATTATTATTATTACTCTTATTATTATTATTATTACTCTTATTATTATTATTATATCCTCTTACCCCATTTCCAGTCTAGTTGACCTTTTATTTTTATATATAAATGCTCTTAACAAGTATATGTGTGATCAGATTGTTCGAAATGTATTGCGCTAATATATCACATAGTTTTGATAATCTCCGTCTTCTTATTACATTATCGAAATTTATAAAAGGGACTAATTGTTTTAAATATAAAAGAAAGATTGCATATAATGGTGTAATACAGGGAGAAAGAATTAATTGGTAGAAAGAAAGATGTGAGGCAATTTTAATCTCATAATTTAAGGGAAGATAGAGAGTGCATACACCTATGCGATTGTGATCGACTTTCAGCCATATCAAACACAGTCTCTAACCATTAGTTAGGATAGTTACTCAGACCCCAACCAAGTAATCTGCATCTACCAACATGACTAAGACTAGAAGTTAGTGTCTTTAGGCACTGATGCCAAACATCAATGTACTCAAGTTTAAATACAAAAAATGATTTGTTTACTTAAACAAATCGAAACATGAAGTTCAACTGATAGACTAATTTACAACAAATTTATTATGAAACTGAAATATGATGATATAATATTAAAAATGAAAGTAAAATGCGTTTTTATACATGAGGTTCATCCAAGTACATTATTACTATTGCTATTATTATTATTATTATTATTATTATTATTATTACTATTGTAGTAAACGAGAACACAAGTAGGGATAATCAAATGTACTTTAACATAAAACTACAGAACAACTTAGTAAAATCTGAGATCCCTATGGTGAATACTTTATTGGTAAAATGTCAATCAATTGTTTCAGGCTTGATTTTTTTAATTCGTTTCCACAACGATCATTCTCTATTTTCATTTTCTTCTCTTCGATTTTCTTAACCTTCTGCCTCCAAGCATTTCATTTTCGATTGATGATGATGATGATGATGATGATGAAAGGCGAAATGGCCATCCAGTGCTTCCAGGTTTTCAATGGTGGTCTAATATCAATCGGTTCATGATTTCAATCACAAACTTAACGATCTCCACAACCCCCTAACTGATAACTACTTATATCTGTCGATATCAGTAGCATATACTATATGATTACTATAAAGCTATGTAACCTCAAGTACGGAAGAAATGTCTTATCTTTGTCTACAGTATACATATCCTTAACCATTTTAATGTTATATCATTTTATTACTTTCACATTAACATGTATGTTTTTTTCCTTTTTTCCATTATTTCTCTTATATTCGTGGTTTAACTCAATTATTTTCAGAAGGGGGGGGTGGCTTTGTGATCATATAGTGAATTGAAACAAGACCACCATAGAAAATCTGGAAGCATTGTAGAACTCTTCAGCAGTGCTCATCAATTAGTTTCAATCTATACATCTATATAAAACAATTAATAACTTACTATTCCATGAACTGAATGAAATTTATTTACATGTGAATTAGATTTTGGTAAAAATACATATGCACCAGATGATTGTGGTCCCATTGTTTCACCTATATAATACATTAATTCAATGTTTAATTTTACTGGAATATCACTTTTGATATGGTTTATTATAATTTGAACAAAATTATCAAAATTATTATAATGTAATTGTAATCTCATAGTTTCTGTAACAATAATAGAACTTCTTTGTCTTGTGCTTTTAAATGACGATGATGATGACGATGTCGACGATGCTGACGATGATGTTGACGATCCAGAAGATGATGACGATGATGTACGATTCATCATGAAATAAAATATATTCAATCCAACTGGTAATATATTTTTAGCATTGAATAATAATTCATAATTTACACGATGTATTGAAGATTTACGTTCTGGTATTTGAATAGTTCTTTGAGGAATTAAATTCAATTGATAAGGTAAAAATTGTTGTGATTTTGATATATTACGAAGATCTTTTAATATAATTTGATATTTATTTATTAGTGAACTATCGTTAATATCATTATCATTCAATGGAATATATACAGGGAAACGTATCCATACATTTGATTGTACCCAACCTAATGGATTATACAATAGAATGAAGATACCATTATCATCAATGCGATGATTGATATTCGGTTGATAATATTCAGTTGCATTACATAAACTAATATTTAATAAATCACAAAATATTAAATCTAATTGATTCTTGATATTCAATTGATTTGTTGGTAATAGATTCCTATAAGAATTATTGATTAATTGTTGACATGATTTTGTTGCATTATATAAATGCCATACATAATCATTTGTGACATGTTGTTTAGCTGTACCAGTTATAGCATCATGATGTTGTAATATACCAATCATATTACGTAAATTATTGATATTTTCATCATTTTCATTATGATACTTTTGATTTAAGATATAATTTGCAAATAAATGAATCTATTTTATTGAAAAGAAGAAAAACGAAGAAAAAGCAAAAAAACAAACAAATGAGAACGTGAAAAGTGATAAATTAGAAAAAAAAGAGAAAGAAAATTCTGTGTAAATTATTGTATTTAAGAATTTAGAGAACTCCTATAACCATCCATTAAGAAGAAGGTACAAGGATTTATAAATAGTTATCTATAAAATATGCTCAATATCCATTGGGCGGATGTCATCAGTAGGCCTTAGTATATACAAAGGAAAAAAACAAAATCATCAAATACAATACAGAGATCATCAGTGAAATCACACTTGATGGAGAAACACTGGACTAGGTGGAATGTTGCACGTACTTCAGATGCGGCATCAATGAACAAGAAAGATTTGATGCAGACGTAAAGGCGAGGATTGGCAAAGCAAGGACAGTATTCTTACAGTTGAACAATATATGTAAGTTAAAACAACTGTCAATCAATATCAGAGTCGAAATCCTCAATAGGAATATCAAGACAGTTTTACTGTACAGAGCTGAAACTTGGAGAACTACTGCAACCAACATCAAAATGTACTCAATGTCCTTTGGCCGAATACCATCAGCAACAGCCAACTGTGGGAGAGAACAAACCAGCTTCCGATTGAATAAGGAACTAGGAAAGAACGTTGGAAGTGGTTAGTACATATATTGAGGAGATCACCAAATTACATCACGAGGCAAGCACTAATTTGTAATCCTGAAAGAAAGCGGAAAAGTGGAAAGCCAAAGAACACAGTACGTCAGGAAATGGAAGCCTACATGGAAAGGATAAATATAGACTAGAAACAACTGGAAAGGATTGTCCAGGACAAAGTTGGATAGAGAATGCTGATGGGCGGTCCATGCTCCTTCATGAGTGGTAAGAGGAGTAAGTAAGCAAGTGTGATTTTCACTAGATCATTTCTTAAAACTCCCGTAAGCTTTCCAAACTCTGGTTAAATATTTTCTTAAATCCTTTACAGTTTTATGTAGCTAATGAAGAACCATAAACTAAAACGAATTCATGTTATTCAGTTTTATTTTACTTTCTTTGTTTTATTCAAGTGTATAAAGCCAACTGACTATATAAAATTTCACTGGATGAAATAATGAGTCAATTGAAGCTAGACCACAATGGAAAACCTGGAAGCACTGGACGGCCGTTATGTCCTAGTATAGGACTCCTCAGCAGTGCGCATCCACGATCCCGCTCACCCGCGAGATTCGAACACAGGACCTATCAGTCTTGCGCCAGGCGCTTAACCAACTAGACCTCTGAGCCGGCATCCAACGTCCAGTGCTTCCAGGTTTTCCATGGTGGTCTACCTTTAATTTACTCATGATTTCATCCAGTGAAATTTCTAAAATCTCCACACAACCCCTTCTGATATATGAAATTTGTCAATCTATATATAGATTTCTATCAACAATATATCACTGCACAAAACTATCCATTATTAAAAACTGATTTTTATGAAAATCTTTCCCAAGATAGTTTATATCATGAAAGGTTATCAAGTGAAGAAATAGGGAAAAGTAGAAAATATACATCAACTTTATCTCAATATGAGACCACATTATCACTCATTAATGAAAGAAACCATATATATTCATTTTCATGATAAACACACCAATAGTCTATAACTGAGTTAAGGTTAACTGAACTACTCTATATAACTTTAATCGATTAGTAATGTTACATAACCATTTACTTATGTTATCATTAAGAAACTAATTTATTTTTTGAATCATTTAAATTTAAAAATTGCTAGGTTTGAAGCGGTTACGAGTTAACTTAGACTGCGAACAGAACAAAGACTCAGTAACCAAAAACCAATAAGCTAGCTATTTGACGCGTCCCAGCCCCGCTAACTAAAGGAAGAAGTCCAAGCTTGGAATGGGGAAGTCTATTCTGCAAACAGCCAGAAACAAGCGATAACAAAAAACACAAATCAAAACGTATATATACAGCACAAAACCGTCCTTGGGGAGAGTTACCAAATAGCATACTAAAAGATGCAACGGACCAATAGCATTTAAGATATTTCCCAAGTGGGAAATGCGACATGAAGGTGACAAGAGCGCTTTTGGCGCGAAAACAAAGAAATTCAAATTTTCTAAATAAAATTACAAAATTAAGTTCTTTTCCAAGTGAGTTTTGGAGATCTAACGTCCCCAATACAAATCAAGGGTTCACACAAAGCTTCGAGAAATCCAACTTGAAGCTTACTTGCGAATGAAAGTACATTCATTTGGGAAGATCAACACTATTTTGAGGGGAAAAAATTTTAATGAACCGTTTATCGCCATTGAGCATAAAACAGGTAGATAGTTTTAGAGTGCACTCCTTATGTTCACTTGGTGTTGTTTTACTTGTATCTTCCGATTGTTATTTCGGACTGCAATTGATCAGTCTCTTATTGTCATATATGAATCCTGTGAAGACTGCTTCGATATTTTCCTTAAGTCACAAGCTTTATAAGCAAAGATAGATAATGGCTAGGACGAAACATGCGTTCTGGATTCCACTGCTAGCCACTATCTATCTTTACTTGTACTTCTCATGTGTTCTAGAAAGAGTAGATTCTTTAAGTATAAAAAGAGATTATATTATTCTACGGATGTTCATCTGTGATATAGAATATCATGTTTCAAAATAACTTTCCTCTGATCATTTTTTAGTAAATGAAATCTACTGTGTGAGTACAATCGTTTCTAGTTACGTATTACGTAATACATGTAAGTCATAACACTTTACCATTCATAGTTTCACTAAATATAAGTGAACAAGATACAAAACTCTTAGTGAATTACATAATTAATTTAATATATAACAAAAATCAAACACTAATCAGAATTTAAGTGTATACAATGCTTAATGGTAAGATTATTATTTATTTATCATTTGAAACCAGTAATTACTTTAACGTAACCTGATAAACAGGAAAGGGAAATACATAAAGCAAAACAGTAACCACTATCCAACAGATTCCCCCCCCCCCATCTAGTATGAATCGAACCATCAGGACACACATTGAGGAAAGCACACAACTATATCACAAGGCGAACCCTCACATGGAATCATCAAGGCCGAAGGAGGAGAGGAAGACCAAAGAACACATTACGCTGAGAAATGGAGACAGACATGAGAAAAATGAACAAGAATTGGATGAAACTAGAAAAGAAGGCCCAGGACAGAGTGGGTTGGAGAATGCTGGTCGGCGGCCTTTTCTCCATTAGGAGTAACAGGCCTAAGTAAGTAGGTAAGTATCAGTTCTCAAAAAAGGAAGAAAAAAAGCATAGCAACAACTAGAAGTTACTTACTTGTTCACATATTGTTAATAAATTTGATGCTTGACGTACATAATATTTTAATGCTGGTCGACTTGTATAATAACCTGTCCAATATGTATATGAACTACTAGCATATGGAAAGAAATCACCACCACGACGATCAATTATACCAATTTGATTAAATTCTTTATTAACTGCTTTTGTATAACATGCTGGTGTAGAATAGAATACATTAATCTTACTACCATGGACTTGTTCTGCATTCACATACTTAATTAACTTATCCATATTATTATAATTGAAATGAGCATTTTCATATGTAAAATCACAACCCATCAGAATCATAATATGATTGGTTTTAAATGCTGTAGATATCGTTTGAACGTACTTTATAAATTTCTTTACAATACTATCAACATTATATTCTTGAATATATGGATTATCTACAATTGTATTATCCGGATATGTATCATCCAATTCAATATTAGGTGGATAACAATAAGTATCATAAAACATTCCAGTAAATAAACCATATAAACTACTACTATTTATTACTTTTATATGAATATTAGTAGTATCCCATAGAACTTCTAATTGTTTTAATTGTTTACGTTTCTCCTTTTCACGAAAATCCATACGTTGAAAATAGACACCATCAAAACCGGCATCTTGAAATAAATCTGAATGATCACGTGAATGTCCAAATGGATCGATTTGCCATGCAACTAATGGACGTCCACATTCACCAAATAATTGTTTTAATACAATATGTCCATATGTTAATTGATCAATTGCATCTGAATAATAAACTGTTGCTTCATCAGCCATACTCCAACCACCTAAAGCAAATTGTAATTGTCCTGACTGAACTAAATCTTTAACTAAATGTTTTATTTCTTTGGTTTGTACTAACCACCATTTATAGAAATAAATTACTTCAACATAAGTAAATTTACGATTTGGATTATGAGCTAAAGCAGAGATAACACTATCTAAAATGTATTGTACACCAGCTCGTTGAATCATATTATTAATACCATAATAATACTGATCGACAGTTTTTAACCAACCAACATCATCATGTGTATGCGGTATTAGATGAATATTTAGATATCCTGATTTTCCAGTTTCACATGATTCATAACCACATTTAGATGAAGAGAAATATTTTAATAGATCATGGAAACTAACACTATAACATTGATTTGTGTAAACTAATAATATAAGTAGGATAATTGGCAATCTTATCATAATTGAATATGTTACTACTATAGAGACATTTTAATTAAATATGAAATATGGAGATTAAAGAAAAAGGGTAGTTATTTGTTACTACACCTGTGAAAATATACTAATTTCAGTTCCGGTTTTTTTGGATTTCTTTTAATTCATTGTTAATATAACTAATGTAATTGGTTAATGGCTTGTATAAGGGTGTAGTCGAAATTCAAACTAACCATTTGTGGAATTGTTTGTTCATGATAAAATCCGTTTAGCTAGTATATCAACTTATGATTGTTTTCTTCATTAGATTATAAGGTGACAATACCTGACAGATTTATGTCATTATACTATGTTAGTATGGGTGAATCCTCGTTCAGTTCACCAAGACTGATTAAAATTCAGGACTAAATCAAACCTCTTAAACAAGCTAGTGACTGTCTGAACTCAATAGTATAACGAATAAAATTTTGAAATTAAGAGTGAAAGATAACTGGAATACAGTCCCGCTGTGAAGACTCGAGCTTAGATACACGTTTATCCAGGTGATGCGTTCACTACCAGTCACAATCAATCTATTCTTCTAAAAAACTTTAGTGTAATCCGCTAATATTGATATGAAATAAATATTTGCTATTTGATTTTATAGCAGCTATTTATCACTTGAAAGTAAACTAATAAATGTTGGTATCAAAAAGGTTTTTGTGGATATTATAGTAATTTTAATAGTTGAGATCATGAGTCATTTGATACTAGACCACCATGGAAAACTTGAATGCACTGGACAGCCGTCTCGTTTTACTGTGCGACTTTTAAGCAGTGCGTATACACGATCACGCCTCGCAAGATTTGAACACACTACCTGTCGATGTCGCACGCGAACACCATACCTATAGACCACTGAGCTGGCCGACATTCAACGCTGTTAATAATCAACTTCAAATTATAGCCATTTAAATATTTAAGAAATTGTCTGAAATTCCTTTACAACGATCATCTTCAAGTCGACTTTTACGCGTGAGAATTAATTTCAGGTATCATATTGATTATTCTAAATTTTTTTTCACTTATTATAATCGAGAGTAATGTGACGTTACATTGGAATCATGATGTTATGCGAAGAGAATGAATTTAGTTAATAAAAAAACTTTTCAACGAAATCATTTACTTAAGCTGTTGTTGAGGTGATACAGAAAACTTCGGTGAAACTCTATTTTATGGACGACCTTTGAACGTACGTTCAAGTGACCTTGAGAACATTAGCCAATCAGAAGAGAGTTGGTATAAAGTAAAAATATATTATGAAAAACTGATGAATTACAATGGATATTCTTCTTCCACATGATTTAGGAACTTGTTAAGGTTTGATAAAGGTTCAGAAGTTCTGAAATCATAATGCATGCGGTATAGGAACTCGTCCATATGGCTCCATAATAATCGTCCTCTGGAACCGTGATAGGGTCTTAAAAAATACTTCAGCCTAGACCACATGCCTTCAATATTGTTTGTATGAACCCCCGTCATTGGATTGACAAAATCACGTATATTCACGGAAGTTACTTACCCAATCTTCCTTGATAAAACGTCCTTTGTTGTATTTTCGCTTTCTAATTACCGTCTCATCTATTTCCACTATCTTTCCAACTCCCCCAAACGATTCATGTTCTGGTGATCGCGCAAAGAAAGTGCCAGTTCGAGCAGATTGTTTTCTCCAACATATAGTACAACGAAATACAATGTCATCACGGTAGTCTGCACATCGTGCTGCAGTCATTTGATTGCCGCAGTCACAGACACAGGAACTTCTTAATAGTCCCATCTGTTATAGTCGCTCAACAATCACCTCTTCTCTGAAATCTGCTGTAAAACGATCGAATGTGGCAACGCTTCTCGAATCGAACTTAGCGCCGTGACCTTGAACTTCCTCAAACGCCTCTGATTGGCTCGTCCATAAATTAGAGTCCTACCAAAACTTCTATCAAAAAGACAAGAAAGGATCTGGAAACACTAAAAAGCATTTTATCCAATCAGCGTTCACTTGAAGTTTAACCAGAAACATCAAGAAAATGAAAAGTCACATGTAGAGCTTCTGATTGGCCGATTGATATACTGCTGCTATGTTTAGTAGCATTCCAGAATTTTCCGCACACCCAAGGTCACCTAAAACACTATAAAAACTCTAGATTTTCTGCACTAGAACGAACCTTCAGAGTAAAGTGCTTCTCGCATATTTTGTGCCCTCTCTCTCCTGTTCAGGTGGCTGTGTAGTTCTAGCTTGGGGGTTACGAGAATAGCTTAGGAACTGAATATAGCGTTCAATTAGCAAGATTTATCACAAAGTATTGTCAAATACTCAATGATAATCGGGTAAATATTGACTATTGTCAACTGCTTAACCCCAATCACAGAACAGCATGACATTAATTCATTCAAATGTTTAAATACATTATGGGTGTGGTGCATGAAAACTCGTCGTAACACGAGAGAGAGAGAGAGAGAGAGTGAGAGCATGAAATTGGTCCTTTTCTCAAAAACAGTACATTGAATTCAGTGATGTAGTGAGTTTTTGAAATTATAATTGTGTGAAACTAACGTCCGTGACCAAATAACTAAGCTATGAAGCTCGAAATGATTAATGTTATAGGTAACGAGAACACAGGTGAGGGAAAATCAAGTGTACTGCAACACAACACTATAGAATAACTTAGTAAAATATGTGGACCATACAGTGAATACTTCATTTGCAAAGTGTCAATGAATCTCCTCAATCTTCGTTTCCACACTATTCATTCTCTATTCTCATTCTTTTTTCTTTGGTCTTCTTAGCCTTCTGCCTCCAAGCCTTTCACATTCGATTGACGTTATATACTACTTATATCTATCGACATCAGTAGCACATACCACAATACGATCAATTGTTTTCTTATGCTGAGAATCACATGTTGGTGATGAAAAAATCTAGCATCAATTCATAAATATTGTTGAGCTTAGTTCTCATCTAGAAAAGAAAATATATCTTACATAATCTGAGTTGTAATGGTAACCATGATCTACAATTGTACACCACAGTTAACTCAGGTTAAAAATTGTGACAGTGGAGACATTATAGGTTACTCCTTTACACTCAAACAACTCCAAGGTCTCAGTAGTTGATACTTATGTATTCTGTTGTACAACCAAGCCATTAATGCCTGATAAATTCATTATTCAAAGGAAGAATACAAAAAAACTACATGAGAAGTAATATTGTCAAGGTTTGAATACTAATATTTTAGTGGCCCGATTTCTGACTCCAATTGGATGGTTTCTGATCGCTATCGAAATATAAATACCGTCAATCCTCGTATATAATAATTGACTTAATCCGCTTAAGTGTATAACGGAAATAAATTAAGCCGAGTACGAGAATGGATTTCTGAATGCATATATTTTGTAAACTCACTGATCTGGACAGTAAATCAGAGGGATGAAGCAAATAGAAGAGAGCGAAGCGAAATGATGTGCAGTGGATAAGATATATGAGCCAACGACCTTTGACCAAGCATTAATTAATATTTAGTCATACAAAATTAAGTTAGATATGTGATGAATGCAATAAGAAGGGCACATACATATGCGCTCATATAAAAACAGTCAGGGTTGATAGGTGAATAATTAACAAGGTCAAAACGTGACTCAAGTAGAATGAATAGACTGGCCTGACGAAAGCTAGAATATGGTATATGAGCTCCAGGAGAACCCTTCCACGATGCAGGCAACCGGGAAGCGATAACTGCGCTCATACTTCCAACAGCACTCAAGACCACTGACTGACACTACAATACTTACAGCTCAAAAGAGTGTGTAGATTGTCAAAATGATCCAAAAAGAGACGTGTGTACAATGAACTTGGACACATGAATAAGTTACTTACCGACAATACCCTCTTCTCCCTCAACTACATACAGAATTGTGAAAACGTGCAATCACTTAGGGATCACACAATAAATCCGATAAAATATTGATCATTAGATCTAGTTACTTTACGCTAACCAATATTATTATCTATCTAGATCCAAAGTTTTGATTTCCATATAAATAAACAACCGATTTCATGCATCTGTTAGTGGTGATATCATTCAATGATGATGAAGAGCAACTTATCTACAACTGAAGGACATCTGGAACTTACAACAACTCTCAACCTACACCAAGGTCATAATTTTCAATACAAATGTCAAGACAGTTCTACTGTATGGAGTGGAAACCTGGAGAACTACGAAGGCCATCATCCAGAAGATACAAGTGTTTATTAACAGTTGTCTACGCAAAATACTTCGGATCCGTTAACCAGACACTATCAGCAGAAACCTACTATGGGAGAGAACAAACCAGATGCCAGTGGAGGAAGAAATCAGGAAGTAGTGCTGGAAGTGGCATAGGACAAACGTTGAGGAAATCACCGAACTGCGACACAAGACAAGACCTCACTTGGAATCCCCAAGGTCAAAGGAAAAGAGGGGGACCGAAGAACACATTACGCCGAGAAATGGAGACAGACATGAGAAAATTGAACAACAGTTGGATAGAACTAGAAAGGAATGCACAGGACAGAGTGTGTTAGCGAATGTTAATTGGCGGCCTATGTTCCATTGGGAGTAACAAGCATAAATTAGTAAGTCAATGATGAGAACTGTTCACGTTATAACACTTTTGATCATTTAAAAAGTAAACTAACGAATGCTGGAAAAAAAATTTTTTTATTTACTTCTTTTCAGAAAAAAAGTTTGTCTGTACAAAATAAACTATCATGGAAACATAATGCGTATCATGAATAAGTAAGAATTCATATTCAGAAGAGAAACAAAAACATTCCGTTACATTTTCTTTTATTTTTTGCATAAATTGAATAGATCTTTAAGTAAACAGACATATACGCGGAAAGATAGACAGACAAGCAATAGATATACAGACAGACAGACAGATGGATAGGTAAACTGACTTGAATAAACAAATAAACCGGTAGAAAAAAAAAAGAAAAAGAGAAGAGTCATAAGTACAACACGGTTCAATCAATCTACTAAAATTTCAAAATCCATTGGATCACCAGGATTACGTACATTAAATAATTCACAGCGTACCATTAAAAGGACATGACGTTTAGGACTTGCAAATTGTACAGCAACGAGTGGTGAACGATAAGCTACTTGCATAAGATATGGAAAGTATAAATGACTAAAGTAACCACTGAACAAACAATCAAAAAAAAAAAACAGAAACAATTAATAAATAGGTCAATTTACATAGATTTCTTTAATAAACAAGAAACCTAAATTACTTAATGAGATCATGTTGTTGCCTAATTGATCTCATCCAATTCAACCTTTAAAGAAGATCAAGGGCTTATGTTTCAAAAACAGAACAATTCCTTTCAATCAAAGGGTTTTTTCAACGGTAAGAGGAATCCAATGTATTAAAATTACCAAGTTTCAACCATTCAGTAGTGGTAAAACATCTAACATATAACATACAATTTGCATTACTAACGGCTAATACAGATCATAGACCTACGTCACGTGAGTTGTCTCTATATTGTGAGTCAGATACACAAACTCAATATGTGAACCTTTTTTTCGACAAATTCTTAAAAGAACATTTTCATTAAAAGTTAGTGCTGATAATACTGTTTAAGTTCATTCATTGTCTGAGGTAGATACCTGTCTTTACCCAACACGGATTGAACTCCACTGTTTAAAACGATAATAAGAACTATGTGCCTAAATTATCTAACTCGAAAAAATGTTAATTCACCAATAATATTAGTATTTGTAAAAATTATTATTATTTTGTAAATATCTAATCGCACAATCCAAATTCCAATACGATATGTTTTCAGTCTTAAATCTTTATTCATTCGTGACTCGTTAGAACATCACATTCAATACTACTTGGAAAAGTCTTATTTCTCATACAAAACTAGTATTCGGTTCAATTGTTCCGTGCAAAATGTCAGACTGCATAATCAGCAGGGTTAGATATTTTCATATTGTTTCACTTAAGGATATGTAATAACTTAAGCATATACTTAGTTACTAATTTATCTAAATCTTTCAATTTCCTTATTAATATACCATTTCTAGAGATACTAATCAATTGCAGTTAATAACATAAATGAGAAGATTCAAACAATCAACATAAATGAATTAAAGTTTGTCCCGTTGCACAAACCAGTGACTATTTCAACTGAATAGTTAAGTAGATAATGGTTTATACATATGAAGTAAATGGTTCTGGGTTCACATCTTAATGTGAAAATCAAAATCATGGTGCAGGCGAATTCAGCTAATGAGTTCCAAACAGAACAAAATACGTGTCCCATATTCCATTGCTAGACAATATCAAAATTTATCCAAAATGCTTGTGACTGAATGGAGATATCAAGGCTATCAGTATATGATGTACATATGCTGAAAAAGAGTGGTCGCTTGCAGTTCATTGAATGAACAGAAAGATGTAAACAACCAATACAAATAAATCTCAAATATCCGCCTAAATTACATATTTTCTGCATCGTTTAGAATTGATTTTAGCTAGAGGATATAAAACAAACTCCATTTTAATAGAAGTCTCCACTTATTGAACTTAATGCTGCTCGGTAATTGTCATGGAATTTACGTAAAAGGTAGGGATACTGTCCGTTTGTCTAAACGAAAATAAACAAGGTGGAACCTCATTCTTAAAATTGACTACCTTAACACTATGTACTCAGTAGTGACTAGCTTCGTGAGGGAATTCTCGAAGCCGTGACCAATGAGATTAATCCATGTCAGGTAGAAACAGGTATCGACCTCGTTACAATGGAAGATGACCGTGTGATTTCATAGATTAGTAAAGGTTAAACATTAACACCGTTGGATATCGGCTCAATAGTCTAGAGATTAAGCGTTCGCAAGCAAAACTAAAGGCACTGGATTCGAATTCTGCGAGCGGGATCATGGATGTGCACTGCTAAGGAGTCCCACAATAGGACGAAACGGCCGTCCAATGTTTCCAAGTTTTCAATGGTGGTCTAACATCAATAGGTTCATGATTTCAATCAAAAACTTTAATCAGACTACATGGTAAGCTTAATCGAAATTGAAACCATAGAATTTCTAACTCCTAGATCAAAAGTTTAAAATATTAACAATCGATCGAGTTCCGCCCAGTAACCTAATAATTACAACGAAGAAGTTTTTTTCATTTTGTTTTTCTAATTAATGAATATTTTCATGTAGAAGCCTAATTTCAAGAGAACAAAATTATTGTGAGTTCGAATAACAAATAACAATAAATTATTAATTATAGGGACTAACTACAGTATTTTGTTTCATACATACATACATGTATAGTAGTTGACGCTACTTACAAAGATGTTTGTAAGTAGTATATAGACGAACGTGTTGTCATCGGAATTGCAACAATCGTCAAACAGAGTGAAAAGTTCCAGTACATCATAATAAACAGGCATTTCTCTTACCTATTGCCTTCTTTACAAATATATGTAATAGAATTAATTAAAATACAAATTAACTTACTAAGTTTTTCCATCAACAGTAATATTAGGAAAATAAAGTACTTGACCAAAATTTTCCAGATCTTGAGGATTCTGTAAATAAGAATTGATTAACAAAGTAAACAGTGATAAAAATAAAAAAGGTGAAACTATGAACATCTAGTGTTTCGCACATCTTGTATCTCAAAAGACGTTAGTAAGCTCAGTTTATTAGATGAACAATCAGAAGTTGAGGATTCTAGTGAAAATTGACTTTCAGTTGGGTAAGAAATTATTTGTGATCTAACAAACTTGGTAGAAGACTTGATGGAACCATTTAGACAGTCAGTACCGTTGAGATGAAGTACAGTGTTTTTGATGAGGCTATAAACCTTAAGTCAGTCAGCTGCAACGTAGGACCAGGCACATATATGCATCAGTCCAAGTTGCCATACCTCATTAGCACAACAAGATAAACACCTCAATCATAGAAGTAGTTGATTCAGTGGTGGTAATATATAAAAGAAAGATTGCGTATAAAGAGATAGTACAGGGAGATAGAATTAGTTCGTAGAAAGAAAGATACGAAGCGATTTTATTCTCTTAGCTTAAAGGAAGACAGAGAGTGTATACACCTACGCCATTGTGATCGATTCTGAGCCATGTCACCAAGAGTCTCCAACCATTGGTTACGATAGTCACGCGAACCCCAACCAAGTAGTCTGCATCTACCAACACGGCTCAGACCAGAAGTTAGTGACTTCAAGCACTGATGCCACGTTTTGGTTTGGCCGCCCTTTAACTTTCTTCCAATTATCCCTAACACCGGTTAGCATTGCGCGTCGTGGTAATCGGTGTTCAGGCATACGCAACACGTGGCTCAACCATCTCAGTCGATGAAGATTCATAACTTTATCAACTAATTTACCATCATTCCCTAATACCCTACGTCTAACCTCACTATTACTTACCCGGTGACCCAAACAGATGTGAGCAATATTTCTAAGGCATCTGTGGTCAAATACTAGTAACTTACGAGTATCTTCTACTATTAATGGCCATGTTTCACAGCCGTATAGTAGAACGGAGCGAGCTGCCGCGCAGTATACTCGTCCCTTAATTGATAGACGGATATCTCGCCTTCGCCATAGATGACGTAAGTTGGCAAAGGCCAAACGAGCTTTTCGAATCCGTGCTGAGATTTCGTCAGGCATCAACCCATTAGAGCTGATCAGACTTCCAAGATAAGTGAAGTTGTCAACGCGTTCGACTACTTCACTCCTTATCCTTAGTTCAGGTGTTGACGCAGTCCAGTCCTGAAGCAACAACTTGCATTTAGAAGGAGAGAAGCGCATACCAAACATCCTGGCATTGTTGATCAGTGCTACCAAAAGACTCTGCATTTCATCAGCGTCTTCACCAAACAGGACTATGTCATCTGCGTATTCTAAGTCGATAAGTGGACCTCCTGGTAGGAGATCAATACCTGAGATTTCAGTCGATGAGAGCGTTATTTCCATCAGTAGATCTATGATGAAGTTGAACAAAAATGGAGAAAGTGGACAGCCTTGACGGACACCACTTGAGGTTGCAAAATCAGATGACAGTTCGCCATAGCTCTGACCCGACTAGTAGTGTTCGAGTAAAGAGCCTTCACAAGGTTTATGTACTTCTGAGGTACGCCTTTCAATGACAGACACTGCCACAGAACCTCTCGATCCACAGAGTCAAATGCTGCTTTCAAGTCAAGGAAGACCACCATTGTCGGACGCCGATAAGTATGTCTGTGTTCTAGAACCTGACGAACGGTGAATATATGGTCGATGCATCCACGACCAGGTCTGAAGCCAGATTGATTCTCTCGTGTTTGCAGTTCACGAGTCTTAGTTAGGCGTCCGATAATTATTGAGGCTAGTATTTTAGATACTATATTAGTCAAACTAATCCCTCTATGGTTGTCACAGGACGATTTTGATCCCTTCTTACATATTGGGACGATAAGTGATTGTGACCAGTCAGATGGGATTATGTCCAACTCCCAGTTTTTAACTAAAATATTAGTCAACCTAGTCGCTAAAATTGGACCACCATCCTTAAATACCTCTGGAACTAATCCATCTGAACCAGCTGCCCTTCCTCGTTTTAGATTAACTATAGCCTTTTGAACTTCAGCTAGAGTTGGTGGACTTACTTCAATGTTCCATTTACACTATCTGGGAATGGTGGGTAGTTGTAGAGTAGCTGAAGGCCAACTGAACTGTTCTCTAAAATGTTCCGCCCATCGTTCTAAACGTCTGGACTGGGAGCAGATAAAAACGTCCTCTTTTTCTGAGATAGTCTCACTTACACTTAATTCCAGTTCTTTTTATGAGTCTGTAGAGTTGTCTTGTGTTCCCTATAGCCGCCGCCTTTTCCATCTGTTTTGCTTTCGTTGGCCACCACTGCTCACAATCATTCATTAGACTTTTGGAGGAATGAATGTTTCTATTATTTTGCTATTCAGACATTCAGATAAGACAACTGATTAGAAACGTTGAATGTAATTGCTGTTATTCAGATGATGAGATAAATTAAATAAAATAAAGATTTCAGGTTTACTTATTAATTATTAGTTACCATGGGACAGCTAATTTTATTCCATCTCTCCTATTAATACCATTTGAATTTGCCCATACGTATAAAGTCTCGACTGTTTTTCTTTCTTTGTAAGAAAGATTAAAACTTTCTTGAAGGATTCTTATGCCGTTGAAATCAGTTGTATGATCCTGTTAGATTATGAAAGCACATCAGTCGAGACTATAATTTATGAACGAGCCAATCAGAAGCGTTTGAGGGACTTCAAGATCAGTACCTAATGCTAACGTCCGATTGATATACAGCGGGTTTTATATAAAAAGTGGTAATTGAGCGGCTATAACAAATAAAACGGCGAGACTAACATTTATGGACGATAATGTAATAAGAAGACAAAGATTATTAGAACTATATGATGATATATTAACGCAGTATATTTTGAACAATCTGATCACACATAATACACTTGTTTAGAACAATTATATATGTAAAGAAATAAAAGGTCAACTAGGCTGGAAATGGGGTAAAGAGGAGACAAGGAAGCCGTGACCAGTGGAGCTAATCCGTGTCCGGTAGAAACAGGTGTTTTCCTCAGTACAAAGGAAGATGGTCGCGCACCTTCGTGGACTGGTTGAGGTTAGACATTAACACGATTGGATGCCGGCTCAGTGGTTCGGTAGGTTAAGTGTTCGCGCGCGAGACTGAAGGCCATTGGTTCGTCAATGCGCACTGCTGAGGAGTCCCACAATAGGACAAAATGGCCGTCCAGTGCTTCCAGGTTTTCAATGGTGGTCTAACATCAATCGGTTCATGATCTCAATCAAGAACTTAACAATATCCACAACCCCTAAACTGATATTAATAATAATAAGAGTGAAGATAATTTGAAACCTAATCACTCTGGATAATAAGTCAATATTACCAGGGTAGGCTTAATGTGAGAACAAACTGCTTTTGAATACACAAAGGAGGTTTTGAATCTTCGTATGGTTAAGGCTTCAATAAACCTTAGTATACGCCCTTTTACACCTTTATGCAACACCATAAAAGCTGATTTTAGATCAATCTTATGGCCAGTTTCAATTATATGTTTAGCAATAGAGGATGATGGATGTTTATCATCTACTCTTATTGGGTCACTTGATTGTATCTGTTTCTGCAGCCATTTGGGTACATGTTCACACGCCCTAATGTTGAGATCACGATTGCTCCTCCATACGTATGTGTGGCCACACACACATTTAAATTGATAAGCACAGTGGGATGTGACACAATTCGTAATTAAGGTAAATTATGACAACTATTGTGAACTGGATAATAAAAACACCAATAACACTACAATATATACGGATGACTGGGTTATGTGCATCGTGTCGTTATTCACAGGTAGTATTTTGTGAACCCAACAACCGTGGTGCACACAAACAGTATTGAAGCTAAGTGATTGAAGCTAAAAGAGTTTTTGCCACCTTGTCATGGATTTTCTATTATCAGTTTAAATAAGAAGTACCTTATTATTCATAAAGTAATTCTAACGAGCTTCTTTTGGAGTTAAATTCGATACACTTTAATGATATGGTGTAGTAGTTCGAATCGATATGCATTTCATACACATAGTTTCCTCTATCATTATGAAAAGAGCAAGAACAAACATTCTAGCACAATAGAATGAATTCATTTTATTTCACCTGGTTCTCATCAGCTGCTTACAACCTGTGGTATTTAAATACCGTAATAACATAATGGGTTTAAATTACTTACATAATAGGGTTTGGTTGGAAATCATATTGAAGACACATTCGTATAGTATAACAAGGGTGTAAATAAATTGAATATATACCTTATTTAAAAGAACATTGTGACAACAGTTCAAACGGCTAGAAACAAGTGATTACATAAAGAGTAAACACTGATAGGAATAAAATGAGTAGAGCTCAGTCGATAAAATAAGATTATTAATTTGGAAGATAGTTGGAACGCAAGACAGAGTCTAAAGAAAAAGGAGAAAAATTTTAAGATACAGCGAAGGAATATTAGTCACCTAGACAAGGAAAGATTAATAACCATCTCCTTTTGAGCACATAAATCAGGTTTTTGGAGTCTGATAAAAATGGCTTCAGCAAACTTCAGAAGACTGGAGTTTGGCTGCTTACTAATCACCTTGAACGATTGTAGGGTATCGACCTGATATCCTGTATCAAGGAGATGTTTGGTGATTGCACTATTTAAAGTCTTTCTTTCTCTTGTTCTGAGGCTTTTTGGAACATGTTCAAAAAATCTAGGATATGCCCTCCTTTTTGTTCAGCCAATGTAGAGGTTTTGACAGGTACACGTAAATTCATAAATACAATTGGTGGTAACATGAAAAGGATGCTTATCAATCTTTGATTGAGTTATTGAACATGTTGTTTTATACAGAATTAGGAGTTTGACCAACGGATTAGTTCTGGATAGCTCAGTAATCAGTCTCCAGTTGATCGTGTTTGCAAAATCATCTTTAAAGTTAACATTTATAGATAATGGTTTTTTATTGACCGTAATTACTTCAGTATTGTTTTCTTTAAGTTTTTTATATTTGTTAATAAACTTTTGTGGGTAAGAGTTGTCTCGTAAGCATTTTTCCACGTTCATCAATTTGTCTTCCAGTTTGTCGGTGGTATATATCTTTTATGCCCTATAAAATAGTGTTTTAACCAATAACTTTATATAACTAATTGGACAAAAACTGTTGAAATTCAGGTAAAGGCCATTCCAAGCACTTTTTCGACAAACCGAACGTTGGACTGTCCTGTCTCTCCTACGTTTTATAGCAACATCAAGAAAGTGGAACATGTCATTCTGTTCGTGTTCCATAGTAAGTTGTATGTTAGGAAGAGCATTATTGAAGAGTTTTAGCAGTTGGATTGAATGTTGTTTATTATTACAGACAATAAACGTGTCATTAACATATCTGGAATATTCCGTTTTGTTTTAGATACTGCATCGATTATGAATAACTGCTTATTGATTATACCAAACAAATATCATAGAAGAATCAAATCAATTTGAATGGTTGGCAACCAATAATAATTTCTTTTAATGGTAAAATCTATTCCCATATATTTAATTGAAAGAAAAGAAAATATTTTCAACTCACTTGACCATGACATCTAACAAGAGGATTATTTGATAAAGTTTTATTCACAATATCAGGTAACCAACCATAAACCTAAATAAAATAAAGTTGAAATTCATAAATGAAATATGAAAACATGTACTCATCTTTGATTTCTATTGTATGAGTATAATGATTGATTAGTGACACTAGTCTACTATTTGAGCTTAAAGTATTTGAAGAGAAGTTTGAACCAGAAATTCAATTATTTAAAACAAAATAATAATAATAAGTCATCGTAGAACGCAAACTGAGTTACTTATATCCATATAAGTAGTATATAACGGTCGTCAGGCATAGAATGTATTTCAGTAGAAGATCGAGAAGGAAAGAACGGAAATGGAACATAATTGGCATATGATAATGCATGGAGAATGAAATTTGAGTCGATGGACTGATATTTGTAACAAGAACAGTCAAGTTTGAGATGATGGATTGATATTTTGCAAATCAACGATCTACTAGATGGTTCTCAGATTTTATTTAGATGCTCTGTAATTTTGTGTTCAAATACATTCAATTGTCCCCCCTCATGTCATCCATCGTCAAAAGAAACGTTGAGCAATATAATTTAGTCAACTACTTAAAGTAAATATAACGTGAATTGTGGATTAAACACACACAAAAAAAACGAATGATTATCACTAGCATATTTATCATGGAATAGTAATAATGAAAATTATTCTGTAAGTATAAATTTAATCAGTTATTGTATTAGTATATAATAGAATATAGTCATCAATGGAATCAAGGACGCGTGTTTCGTCCTATTTAAAACTAGTTAGCTGGATGTACCTGCACACTAGATCTCACTGTTAGTTACATCCCATCTATTAATTTGTGCCATAATGACCATATCGAGGTGACGCTCATAGGGTGCCCATATGTCAATCAGGGCTGAGGATTCCCATACTAGGACGAAACGGACGTCAAGTGCTTCCAGGTTTTCCGTGGTGGTTTAGCTTTAATGGACTCATGATTTCAACTACTGAAATTATTAAAATCGCCACAAAACCACTTCTGATGATTAGATTTTAGTCAAAATATCAACAATAGGATAATCAAACTAATTTCAAAATCACGAAAAGAAACTTCATGATTTATGATGAGAAGCCGTGGTCAGTTGAATATAACCGTGTTGGATATGCAGTAGGTATTTATCAAGGACAATCAGAGATGGTTGCGTGATATCGCAGATTGATTGGAGTTGGACATGTATGCCGTTGAGTCTCTGATACATGTTAGGTGTTCGCGCAAAGTCAAATATCTTGCGTTCAATCTACGGTTGCGATGTCGTAAGTCCCCACTTCTCGGTACCCTATTCTACGACTGAACAATTGTCCAATCACTCCAGGTTTCCAATCGTCGTCTAGCTCAGATAGGCTTCAAGAACACTAACAAGTGTTGTATGAGGTGTTTCCTAAAAATGAATATGTACTATCCCATTAAATTTAATGCTTCGATTTTTTGTTCATTAAGAATACTCAATTAATGGTTTCCATACAATATTTTTAGGTCGAAGGAATCGATAACTCCGCCTGTATCTCTCCTAGAGTTACTGCCGGTTCCAAGCCCGGATAAAGGAGGAAGGTTGGGCATGGGGTTAGCGTTCCCATCCCGTAGAAAACTAACTCGCTAAAAAAACGTTAACCATAATTCGAAGGAATCTATGGCCTTAACTTCATTCACAAGCTCAGCATAAATATCAGCACTTAAGTACCTTATGCAAGTTTACAAATTGAGTATGCATTCAATGTTCAGAATCTCTAATAATAATTGATCAGGGTTACCTATTTCCTCTGTCAACTCTTTAAGAGTCTGATCAACGTCATATCGCTGAGAAGAAAATTAATATTGTATCTTTTGTAAATAGGCAGTCGGTTATCGGTTTCCCGGTTTTAGAGATAAAATTCTAAACTACTTACAAGTAGCAATAAAAATAAATAAAAATATTTTCAGATATATATAATTTTGATATACCTTATTAATTTTCATGATGACACATGGTTGACTTCTATCATATCCAAAATTATTCTCTTTAACACATACACCCATATCATGTGGATAAAATTTACAAACCAAATCAACATCATCTGGTGATTTAATTTTATCACATGTGGCAAATCCATCCTGTGGTTGTATATTGACCTCTTCGTAGAAATAAAGAAATGTTCGTATATCTTGTACAAATGGCATATATGTTTGTGGATCAGACGAAGCATAAGCAATTAATGTCGTTTTAAAATCATTGCGTGGTCTCATTCCTAAGCCTACAATAAACATAAACAAAAATACAAGCATACTTTCTAAATGATAATAAAAAAAACAATTAAATGAATTTAAGATGAATTATTCAGTAATGAATCACTAAGTTGCTATCAATTACGTTGAAACTGGTAAAAGTACCTCCGGAAAAGTTGAATTGTAGCTTATCACTTAATGGTATAATAAATCACTGCTTTAAACAGAAATTTTTCTCAAGGTACGGATAGGATAGTAAACAAAGATGGTAAACCTCGGTCAATAATGCTTGAATCTTTACAAACTAAGGTGACTAACATATGTATTATACCACCACCTACTTTGATGCACTCTTGAAAACAGTGTTTAAGTAAGTCCGACAAAATTGGCAGGTGATGTGGGTAAGACAGCTTTAGTCCATTTAATCACTGTGATCTAGACTGACAAGTGTTTATAAGTTCAAACTTCCTCGTTTGATGTAATAAGATCTTCGTCCTCCATTGTTCAACAGACTGGATCGTATGACTCAAAACCGGTAACAATGGTATCAACGTATTTAATACTTGTCAGACTCTAATTTTGAAGTTTATCATTACTACATACATTGCATTCCTTCATTCAAGCTATCCTTTCAAACTACATTCTTACGCCTAATTTATGAGTCCATTTATCAATGATATTTCGACCCAATGCTTTGGTTTCGTTTGGTTCTTTTGCTTGCTTTAATGAACTAGATTGACACTAAACAGTATTTATTTTTAGGAAAAAGAATCAACTTACAAATATTCAGGTAATTAGTCGAATCTGAGTATCCTATCGCAGCTATAATGGTTTCAAATTTATTTTTCCAAAATAAAATGATAAAACCTAAAAATTTTATAAAAGTTTCGCTAGTTATTGAGTGATATCCTAGTTTTCAACCTGTTGCTACCAGATGCATAAGACAGAGTTTCACCATAGAATAGTCTCTTTGTCCGAAATCAACTCCATAAGTGTCAATTGTGAACCGCTATTCAGTGTCAGAAATAATGGTAGACTTAAAGTTAAACGATTGAATTTCATTTTTTGGCTAATGATCAACTAAGGACAGAAGAATATGTGATCTTATATCCCAGAAAAATACTGCAGATTACAACCCTGTTAAACTTGACGGAATTTTTACCTAAAAATAAGACTTCTACTTTAATAATTAAGGAAGTTTTGTCTTGCTCGTTACATATTTTAAATACGCTTACCTATGAATTTTGCCAATAGATAATACAAGTTACTCTAACACAAAAAACTGACTTATAAGTTCCGTTAAAAGTCATTCTTCAGCTATAGAGTCATTTTATGTTCAACAAACATGACTAAATTATGCAGTTTTTTGAAGCAGTGCTTGAAACTATTTTGTAGCAGATTCACGAAGACACAAACATCTTTCTCACCAAAATATATTGCCGTTATTCAGAAATCGAAAAAACATTATGGCATAGATTATGTTTAGGAAAAGTCACTCATACGTAACATTATGGTAGAAGTCGACAGATAAGAATTCTGGTGATTTGAATATAGTGATTTTGTAACATTACTGACTTATGATGAAACTATGCTCAAAAGGTGAAACCAACGAGCCGCAAGGTTTTAAATAAGTAAGGCAAATTATATGACACGTCCATGAGATCTTATTCATTAAACAAACTTAGATTATTTGCACTTATTAACACCGTGCCCAAATTCGGTATTCATCATTCCTCTTGATTGGAAGTTTAATGATAACGACAACTTCACTATAAACAGTATGTAACGAATAAAAAACAACATTTCATTTTATCAAAAAAGTGAACTTTTTACTCACAGACTTGAAATATATGCTTTTAGCTGAATTAATCGTGACTGCCATTATTAGATTCGGCAGTGAATTAGCTAACTTTATATTGCTGAAAGAGACTATCAAAATGTAAAACCGACTAGATACTCTAAAACACTTATTAGACACCTAGTAATGTTTAACAATCAATTTGCTTGGCAAAAAGATTAAATTGTACGGCTATGAGCATCATTATAGCCATTCACCTATCAGCATATTTAGCATTTATTACTACATGTATAACCGTCATCATTCTGGTCTCAAGTCAATTTATAACCACGATACTAATAATGAATATTTCATATAGAAAATATGTTTTTTCTCATTTAGTAAATGACAGTAGCATAAGAGTGCAACATTTCTCTGTCCCAACATATCTGTTATGTTTAATAATTCGAAATTTACAGTTCAACTAAAGTTTTGCGCATTATTTATTTTGATTTCATTTACAAGGCTATTAACAAATAAGCACATTTAACCACCCTCAACTTTCATTATACAAATCAAATTAGCTTTATTAGTTTAGATATAAAAGAAATGGTTAGGAATAACGAAATATGTAACTCAGTGATCTAGCTAGATTTGTTAGTTGAAGTAGTTTCATCCGTTCAAACTGAACATCGTATACACACAGCAAATTGTGGATAAAATATATTCACATTTAATTATTGGACGATTAATAAATTCCCGTAAAACCAAATCTTTTGTTCTAGATGAAACAAGGGTGGCATGATATCTTGGAATACTCCTCTCGCGAATGATGAAATCAAATTCTTTTCACCAATAGTTGAAGCTAATTAGAGTTCTAAGTGCAATATTACTGCGGTCATTAGTGTGCCACTCTTTACATAAACTTGATCAGTGGCTAATCAGTTATGAATATATGTTTATTTATTGTTTAAACTGTCTGAACATTTATTGTTAATAAACATTTATATTTCGAAGGCATATGTAAAAATTCTAGTATGTAAGTCAACATAAAATGGTTTGAAGCACCACTTCTATGTCATATCTTGCAGATCACCCAGTAAACCTAGTGTACTCCATGTTTTTATAATAGTTCAATGTTTTCTCTTTCCGAACTAAATTCTCCAAAGTTTAAATTATCACGTTCCGAACAATAATCAACACATCCAAGAGCTGCTCACATTTTTGCAGCATTCACATCTTTCAAAGAATTACAACAGTTTAGATAATAATGATGTACTTTCCCAAGACTAGTTGTAGCCAGAGTTCTATGTAAAGGTGTATACGCGTCTAATCTCATCCCTCTTTTGAGGGTCTTTTTATGACTATTAATCTTTTTTTGGCTAGCACGATAATGAAAATCACTAAAAAAATCATCGAACAGGTTGTACAGACATTTTTATACATCGCATTTAACATATAGCATTTATAATCATATCGTTTTTTTACTAGCGAAACGACAAAATCTGGACTCATATTCATTCACCTTTGAGGAAACCACTTCAAACGCTAAACGACAAATAACATGATATTCAGTAACATTTCATCACCAGAACTGTTAAACTCTAATTTATAGACGACCTTTGAGCAGCCTTAAAGTGACCTAGAGAACGTCCACTTACTTATTAGTGCTAAATGAGGGTTATAAACCAGTGTGAGGAATTAGAATTATGATTTACAGTTGATGATTAAGGTTAGGAGTTAGATTTAATGTTTTCATCACGAACCGACATCAGCTATCAAACCAAAACGCTATTTAGTCAATTGAATGAGTGAATTTTGTGCCAATATCCGAGACCTGTTATTCTAAATTTAAATTGCTCATCAGTAAATTATAACCTCGCCAAAAAATTTCTAATCATCTGAGGAGAACGTTGTGTGACTTGCGTGTTGTAAACTCAACCTGTGTAATCTAAAAATCTTCAAGATGTATTCAATATCTGAGTAAAAATCCAGGGAATCTCACTATGACCTATTACAACCTAAACCCATCTAAAAATCCAGGAAGTTTAGATCACAAGTTATATGTAAGATAGGTTCATGCGCCAAGTACCTATAGCCACAAGGATAGTTAAGAATAACAAAAACAAATAGAATTATAATACATAGAAACCAACCTGGTGAAAGTGCAAGGGGACTGTCCAATCCAGTTATGTAAGGTTGGTCATTACTGATGATAAGCTGAGTTATTATTATTAACATGCCCATCATTATGATTAACAAACATATGTACAGAATGAGGTAGTGCAACCAAAACTTAACTAGAAAGTAACAAATAAATCAATAGGAAACCAACAAACTCCATCCACACAAACTGCGCCCCATCATATACTTAGTCTTTTCGTCACTGTTCCAAACTGGCCGCTTGTACCAAGAATCGATGTTTCTTTTTCCATGATTCGAAACTTTTTTTTCATTCAGAAACGGTTGTTCTTCATCGGCACCAAGCATCCCCATCTCCACAGGATGTAGCAATGAAAATGATATTGCCGCTGTTTACTAAGTTCGCAAGGTGAAAACATTCCGTGTCATGAAATGTTTAAACAAAAACTCTTCTTGGCCAGAAACGCACATTTGTTTAATTTCTATTGCTCCTCATGACACATTTTGCTATTTTAACCGGTAACGTATACCCAGAGGTTTCTGTAATCCCATAGTTAGGAAGCCTACAGATTTCTGATTTTCAAATTTTGCTTATGTACAATACTTTGCCCAGCCGCATAGAAGACAGTGCTTATGAACATGAACGTGGAGGTTGTTTAATATTGTTCCAGTGATCACGTAAGCTTTCAATTTATTCTGGAACGTATAGTTGTTGATCTTTGAAATAGTTGAATCTCGATTATACTTAATTATTCTCAAACATGAAGTTTTATGAAATCATCCCACTGACTACGAAAGATAAACGGATTTGTAGGGAATAGCACATTTGCCTGTATGTTTTCGATTTCAATTGATACTATTGTTTAACGACACGTGGACATACATCACCTCATTACTAGGCAACATCACATAAAACACTTCTCCTACTTTATATAACTAGTATAGAGGCCGAGGGTTGATCTACTTCTGCTTACTATCACGTGCACTAAACAGGATAAATGACTACGTGATCACACAACTTCGAAAACAAAAGCCTGAATTCCGTAAGCATCGATGGTATACAGACCAAATAAAAACTCTACGGATTATCGTGGAACAATCAGTTGAGTGGAATTCGTCACTCTACATCAACTTCATTGATTACGAGAAAGTATTTGATAGCATGAACAGGACAACACTATGTAAGCTTCTTTGACACTACGGCGTGCCTCAAAAAATAGTCAATATCATACAAAATTCCTATGATGGATTAGACTGAAAAATCGTGCATGGAGGACAATTAGCAGACTCGCCCGAGGTAAATGCCGGTGTCATTCAAGGTTGATAACTATCACCCTCTCTCTTTCTCCTGAAGATCGGCTGGATCACGATGTCAACATCAGGGGGAATCACGGGATACAGTGGACATCTAGGATGCAGCTGGACGACCTAGACATCACAGATGATCTGGCTCTTCTATCGCACACGCAACAACAAGTGCAGGAGAAGGCGACCAGTGTAGTAGCAGCCTCAGAAGCACTACCTTTCAACATATGCAAAGCGAAAAGCATGATTCTCCGATATGATGAAACATGCACCAATCAAATCAAAATTGACGGAGATTTGGAAGATGTAAACCCTTCACCTATCTGGGCAGCATTATTGATGAACACAGTGAGTCTGATGCGGATGTGAATACGCGGATCGGAAAAGCAAGAGCAGCATATTTATGACTGAAGTACATCTGGAACTTACAACAACTCTCAACCTACACCAAGGTCATAATTTTCAATACAAATGTCAAGACAGTTCTACTGTATGGAGTGGAAACCTGGAGAACTACGAAGGCCATCATCCAGAAGATACAAGTGTTTATTAACAGTTGTCTACGCAAAATACTTCGGATCCGTTAACCAGACACTATCAGCAGAAACCTACTATGGGAGAGAACAAACCAGATGCCAGTGGAGGAAGAAATCAGGAAGTAGTGCTGGAAGTGGATGGGATGTACATTGAGGAAGTCACCGAACTGTATCACAAGGCAAGCCCTTACATGGAATTCTCAAGGCCAAATGAGAAGTGGAATATCAAAGAATACATTACTCCGAGAAACGAAGACAAAAATGAGAGGAAAAAGCAACAACTGGATAGAACTAGAAAGGAATGCACAGGACAGAGTGTGTTGGAGAATGCTGGTTCTCGGCCTATGATCCGTTAGGAGCAACATGCGTAAGTACGTACAACATGCACGATTATTTCTTAATCATCACTGCTCTTTCATTTCCTTGTCTTTGTGTCAATTTAGACTGACTCTTTCATGTCCAGTGTGCCTTTACGACCAAGTACACTAAATATTATTTGTAAGAGAATTCTTGCATGTATGTGTTCATATGTGTGAAAAGACCACCATGTATGTACTCCGTATAGAGATATTTCTATGTTATTCCTTGTATGCAGTGGTTTTCTATAAACGTCTGTACTCAATCATATCACCACCAATAATTTTTTCTTTGTCTGAAGTCGTTAGGTGATGATGGTGTTTCAAGAATCTGGAACTGACTAGCTTATTAATCGCGTCGAGTCTTTTAAAAACTGTCTTGTCTTTCTTTTACTTAACTTCGTGCTTCGAAGTTGCCATGTTAGATTACTGTGCTTTGCTTGTGGCCGTATCAACTGATTGCTTTTGCTCTCAACTGTCGACATTTAAGTGTGTGTCTTACTTGTCTTAGGAAGGTTTACTGTCGATATTAGGTAATTAATTAAATATTTCCAAAAACGTTATTATTTTCTAGTTGTTTCTTCACCTTTGGAGCAAATTGAATTCAGTTGACTTCTTTTTTAGGTAGGATGTTGTTGTTCAACTAATAGGAATGTTTTCAAATTGTGATTAATGAGTTTAAATAAGCATCCAACTTTATCGCTGAAATAAGATGACTTTCACTACTAGGTAGACCAGTTTATGAAATTCAGAAATGACGCTGCTCCATTGTCTGGCCTGAGGATAAAATTTCCCTCACGCCGATAAACTCCATAATTCAAATGACGATAATGTAAAATGGCTTTCTCAACATAATGTAAAAATGTACAAAAAGGTGCAGAACGTACCGAGAAGATGTAGCATAATGTTTTCGGTTCTTAACCACACAATTGATATTCAGCATTTAACGCTTGGAAGAAATAGATAATGGTGAACACGGCGAAAATGGCATAGCTCAGTCATGTAGTTGCTGCTAGAATTCTTCCTGTTTTCTTCGCCGTATCAAATGTATTACGCTTATACCAGCTCAGATGTGTTCTTCAAAAGTACTGGAGGCAATGTAGCTGGTTATCGCAATAGGACATATCAGTTTAGTCAATGGTGTGACTAACCCGCAAGATCTAATAGGTCAGGTAGTCACACCATGAAAGTACTACAGTTTTGCGGCTCGGTTTATTACCATAGTGGTACTAATAGAGAAGCAGACCGTAAAGCCAAATTACTATACAAAACGTGAGTAATCATTCAAATCGCTCTTAAAGTGAGCAATTAAACTAGCTAAATATATAAATGTTACCAAAAAATAAATAGTGATCATGTTACCCTCAATGGTATATCCAATCATTTCAACCAAAAGGGATTGAGCAAGAATACAGTCGTCCGATATGGCACCCACAAGAATATGATGTAGGATAAAATAAAGGTAAGACAGTAATCTGAAGAGAATACATCATCAAGGAGTTTCGCATAGTTCAGAATTTTCGGAGGATTTGGTAATAATGGGTCACTCTGCGATAAAAAGAAATTTCATCATACATACCAGAAGACAGGCAAAATAATAACGATCATTCCAAATAAACTAAGGGATTAGCAATAGGATAAGGGTCACATATAAAGATAAAATGAGTTCAGGCTGCAAGTCCCTGTTTAAAAGGTGACACGGATATCATGGGAGGAGTAAAGAGTGTAACTACTAGTGCAACTCCAGAACTCTAGAGGTGTAATAAAAAAGCGGCTCGAAAAGCTGGACTTCATTACCCCGTATTATCACAGATTAAGAGGTGATCTGATGGTAATATATAGAAAACCAACAAATGATTTAGGACGCAATATATCCGCTCTTTTTTTCGCATTAGATCTGGACATCTCAGAAGGGTGGAGAAGCTCATAACGGGAAAAATACATTTGGTATTCAGGTTTTTACTCCGAGTTACCAATTCTTGAAATCTGTTACACGAAGCAGTGATGACCTCTTCACTTGACTCATTCATGAGAAGATTGGATACCCTCAGAAGCTCACTAAGATACACAAATATGAAAACTTTTTTTATTTCATCCAGAACGATTTCAACCTTAAGGTCGTTGCTAGTCTGAAATTTCACCAGCATGATTCAAATACTGGTCTTATTACATATCTGCTTTATAACACATTTTATTCAACCAACTGTGAACGGTACTAACCACCTATAAAGTTTCTTTATTTTTAAAGATAGGGTATGCCTGTGTGATATCAGGCCGTTGGTTTGTGACAAGTTCTGTCAGTGTGACACATATTGTTTTAGTGATGAAAATAACTCGTTTTCCGTCTACCTGTCTTCAGAGAGGTAACTAACATCCTAACTCTATTTTTTAGTGATTTTTATGGTTCGAGTTGGTGCATTCCAAAGGGACTTCATTTCTTATCAAATGCAGCATTCTTTAGGAGTCAGGACGGTGAATCTATATGTTTTTCCGACATAAACTGTATGAACTATAGTAAATTATAAGTATAAGATTTTAGAGGAAACTATCTACAGTTAAGTCGTAGTGCTAGACAGTTTTGGACGAATTCCATTCCAATTTTCAACTTAAATTCGTTAAACGGTTGTGTAAAGTATTACGTTCATATGATATTTAGCTACCGTTTTCTTATAGGCAGAGAACGATATGTGCCTGATCTATAGAAATAAGATGCTCGGACGTTTCACATTACCCAGTGGTTCAGGATGTCACGTAGATTTTTCACCAAGTAAGCTCTTTTTATTTTCCATATGCTAGGAAAGTTTTTGTATATTTCGTGTATTTGTTGAACTCGTTTTGACTCACATTTTTCTATTTCAAATCTCTGAATAAGCGTAATCTCTATCCATGATTTTTGACCTACAAATCTCAATTGCTTGAATTACCCAATTTTAGATTCTAGGTTTGTTTGTTCCTTATCTTAATAACATTCTGTATATTACCTTGATCCGTGACCCGAAATTCTAAGAATATGGATTGTGCTCGGTTGTGCAAAATTATAATTTGACGAAATCTTTGGAATTTTACTGTTTATCCAAAAAATTGTTCTTGTCAGTTTCAGTTTCAGTTTGGAAAGGACAGGAGGCTTGATGGCCTGTGTTAGTCCTGGCAATTGTGTTCTCTTAGTTGATCCAACTTTTTTTTGAAAGAATCTACGGATGGAGCCTCAACCACGTGTTGAGGTAATGAATTCCACTCGTTGATGATTCGGTGGGAAAGTCGATAATCAGCTGAAAAGTAATTTGTTCTGGGCTTGTGAACTTTTCGGGAGTGTCCTCGTAAATTCTCTGTTTTGGAAGACAGGAAAAATGAGGGCATATCAGGTGTAAATTTATCACTAAGTAATTTGAAAACTGTAATTAAGTCGCCTCTAGTTCTACGATATGACAAAGGGAATAGGTTTAGCTTGGCCAGTCGAGCATCATACAGAAGCTTCGCTATTCTGGGAATCAGCTTAGTTGCTGTTCTCTGGAACTTTTCCAAAAGCTCACTGTCTTTTTTAAGCATGGGCTAGCCACTTGTATGCAGTACCCAAGTTTAGGACGTACAAACACTGTATACAAAGTCAAAAACATTTGAGCGTCGACATGAGTAAAAGCCCTACGTATTGACCATAAAGTTCTAAAAGCTTTGGCGGCTATTGCACGGCAGTGTGCAGTAGTCTTCAGATCTCGGCTAACGATGACTCCTAAGTCATTATGTGTCTGAACAACAGGTAGCTCAGTGTTATTCATCGTGTATGTATGTGAACCTTGATGACCGATATGCATCACAACACACTTGGAAGTATTTATCGGCAGCTGCCATGTATGAGACCATTCGGATAATTTCTTCAGGTCATTTTGGAGTTCTAAGCTATCACCCTTACATCGTATCGTTCTCCATATCTTGACATCGTCAGCATATAGCAAGACCGATGATGATGGTAAGCGAGGAAGATCATTTAAATACAAGAGGAATAGCACTGGCCCCAAAACTGTACCCTGGGGCACTGCACTAAGCACAGTTTCCCAGCTAGATAATTTTGAGTTTACCCGTACTCTATGTTGGCGCCCAACAAGGAAGTCTTCTATCCACGTCAATAGATTGCCTCCAATTCCGACATTTTTCAGCTTATATAACAGCCGGTTGTGCGGAACCTTGTCAAAAGCTTTGCTGAAATCAATGTCAGCCACGTCTACAGGTAACTTTTGGTCCTTAAAAGCGCACCAGCTTTCTCGAGTGACTAATAAGTTAGTGAGACAAGAATAACCTATTCTGAAACCGTGCTGTTTCTCCGAGAGGATCCGGTTTACATCGAGGTATTTAAACAGGTCTTTCCGAATAATCTTTTCTAAGATTTTAACAACCACACTAGTTAGGCTAACGGGTCGGTAATTCTCAGGTTTATGTTTCGTACCTGTTTTGAAGATAGGACTTACTATAGCGTTCTTCCAGTCTTTTGGTAAACGACCCTGCGTAACGTATAGATTAAAGCATATACTTAAAGGGTTCGCAACGAAGTTAGATAATTCCTTTAGTAGCCTAGGATGCAATTCGTCGGGCCCCATGGATTTACCTATGTCAAGCTTATTTAGCAGATCAAAGACATCGAGTTCATTAATGGTCACGCTATCCAGTGTATGTGTGTGGGGGGTTTGTATGCGCTGACGGGATGGGTGATTCTACGGTATATACATTACTAAAGTAGTTTGAGAACACTTGAGCCTTACCAAAGTCATCTTCCACTAATGATGCGGCAGTACTGTCTCCCCATAGTGCAGGAATAATTCCTCTTATTTTTGTCCTTTGGTTTATATAGGAATACAGGCGTTTAGGACATTCTATGGATTCCTTAACAATTTTTTCTTCCTACAGCTTTCTAGACTTATGGAGGGTCGAGGCACAGGGATTCCTAGCTTTTCGGTACTGAGATTTTGTCTCATCAGTCCCCAGTAACCTAAATCTATCCCACACTTTTCTTCTCTTACGGAGAAGGATGCGGACCTCCATATTGAACCATAGTGGGGAGTTTCTCGGCCCCCTTGGTATAGTCCAAGTAATGTGGGGTGCGGTAACTTTTAAGTATAAATTTCGGAATGCGTCTCAAGCCATTTCAATTGAGGACTCTGGGTTTATTGTCCAATCTACTAATGATGCCGATTGCATGATATCTGGTATTCTTGCTTTCCAGACGTTAGGTCTGGATTGAGTTGACGCTTGATCGTGATTGACAGTTATATGGAAGTCAAAAGTTAAAACTGCATGATCACTTTTATCTAGGGGTGGCATGTAAAGGAGGTTCGCAATATCATCCTCATAGTGAGTTAATATAAGATCTAGGAAGGATGATTCAGTGTCTGGGTCGTACCTAGTCGCTTCTTTCACATGTTGCACCAGGGCACATGTTATAACCGCATCAACTAGTTCCTGCTCGAAGGAATTATCTGATGATTCGGTTCGCAGATTTCCCCAGTCTACCATAGGTGCATTTAAGTCCCCTAGGATTAGACATCGACCACTTCGCGACCAATTTATGAGCCTGTTTAGCAGGACATCATTTACCTCACAGCTTGGACTGCGATAGACCAAACCGATTAGCAGCTCCTTTCCCTTGAATTTCAAGCGGCAACTAACCAATTCACACGTCCTACTTTCATGGGATACACTATCAATAATGACAAACGGGATAGCATTCATAATGAATAGAGCTACTCCCCCTCCTTTACGCTTATGTATTCTTTCGGTTTTTACTAAAGTAAAACCCTCAAAATCGAGTTCCATATTATCTATAGACTGTGTCAGCCAGGTTTCTGTGACTGCGATTATGTCTAGCTCTGTAGAGTCAATCTGTTCACCTAGTTCCGATCGCTTATTGAGCAAGCATCGGGCGTTAGTGTAACAGATCCGTAGCCTATTTAAGTGGCTTCGTGTTTCACCCAGAGTGGCTTCGGCATCATTCTCTGACGAAGCCCCACAACCCGAAAATTTACAATTTTCAGGTCCTTTTTGCCAGCGTCTAACCTAATTTGTAGTTCTTTTTCGGCTTTCCGTCTTTTTACACGGACTGCCAGCGGCAAGTCCTTTTGGATAAAAACTCCCGAACCCTTTAATTTATGTCCATTCTGTAAAATTAAGTCCCTTTCATTCGAAGATTTGAATACTACTTTAAGCAGTCTAGATTGATTAGGCTTCAAGTTCGCTAAACTACCTAGTCTATACACCTTTAGCAAGGTGACTCCGGAGATATTTTGAGGCATGAGTTGATTAAGTAGCTGTTTTATCAGGACAATGTCATGCTCAAAACGAGTTTTTGGTTCGGAGCTTTCGCTCTCCTTGATCCTATGAAAAATGACTGATTTGTTACTGTGATCAGCCTTCGGTTTTTCGACTAGTTTTGTGGGGGCATGGTTCCCTTTTATATCGTTTTTCTGTTTCTTTCTTACAACCTGTACCCATTCGTCAACGTTGCTTGGAGAAGCAACCACAGTCGCGTCAAACATACTGTGGGATTCCGGAGGGTTTTCGGTGACTTGGGAGGTCAGGTTTGGTGTCCCTTTAGAAACTGATCGAGCATTGCGGTTGCAGCTTCTACGTGTTTCTTTCTGGATACCATTTTGAAGACGTGGGACAGAAGAAACTTTTTTCCTTGAGTTTTTTGTGCGGACAGAACTCTTTGGGGACTGTTCTCCCTCCTTTGGTCGGTGCGAGTCATCTGTTTTCGAACTCACTTTAGTTTGCCTCACGCCGATTCGCGTGTCAACGGAGCGAGTACTTGTTGATGTGTCGCGACCACTCTTGCCAAAACATTTTTTAGCAGCACCAACCAATGAGATGGCCTCGTTTAGCAAGCTGTTAGCATCCGAACAGCACTGTTGACAGAGCCATACACAACCATTCCTACTGAACCGTTTGAAAGCTGCAGGCGTTAGATTTGTGCAAACTTCGTGGTACCATCCTTTGCACTCATCGCACTGCATGCCGCTTTCAACAGGATAACGACAGCACAGGCGTTGGCAATTACTTTTTTTGCACTGTCCAGTCATTTAAACACGGGGTTATTTTTTAGAAAGAACTAGATGCAAAAATACTCAGGGACAAAAATAATCTATGACCAAAAAAAGTGGAAAACTGTAGATCGTTAGAACCAAAAGTACTAACAGATGCTATAAAAAAACAGAGTACTCAAAAGTACTGACAACAAAACTACTTTAGAAAAAAACGATAATCTTATCGAATACTTTAACTGAAAGGAACTCAATTAAAGTGAAAAACAGTAGTTTTGATACGTATAAACGATCAAAACAATAGAATTTACTCAGCGAGGAAAAATACCACTGTCCTTTTTAAATAGCGCGCGGTAAGATCTTTTTAGGCACCCCGTCTCTGTTCCGATTTACCGGATCACTTAGGACCGCCTGACCCATGGTCAACTGCTGTTCCCATGGAACCCTTCTCCACCTCGGCCTTCAAGGTTCTCATTCGTAATCCCTCTGATACTTGTAATTACGCCCATAAGTCCGCCTAGCAAAAAATAATTTCTTTAGCTTGATTCCGTCTCGCGTGTGTGAAAGTTGTACATTATCGATGATTCTTATCCTCACAGTACCGGCGGCTAAAAATTCACCATATGGAAAGATGAACTTATAAATTTTTAACCTTGGTCTATCTCAAGCCTATTTATTTTTGTAAAAACCTCTGTTCGGTATCTCTGTGGGAACTATATTGCTTGTCAGTCCAATGTATAGAATTCGGCTGTTACTTGTTTAAATGAGGGGTTTTAATCATAAGCTTTCATTTGACCCATAGGTTACTGTTATGCTATTTACCATTCTTGATTTATTTCCAACCTATTATTAACAGTCTTTAATATTTGCAGTTACTTTTTTCTTGATCCTGCATAATTATTTTGCACTTAATGGTATGATGCGGTTTGGTCTTCTTGCATATAAACTACGTATGTCTGTAATATACGATTCACACCGAGGGGGTGATATTATATTCTAGACTGAACGGGCTGTGCTAGTTGAGAATTTGCTATACAGAGGATCAATAAGGACTCAGTACTGACTGTAGGTTGCTTGTTCTGGTTAAAGCATCGTTGGTTTAGCACAGGGACAAAATCATATAAGTCGGTATTCTGATTGACAATTTTGCCATGTGAGATTCAACGGGCCATAGTATATAACAAGAACTTAAATGATGTGACTGAAAATCAGTTTCAAAGCTGTCTGCGTATTTAACTTTCGTAATCTTCTGATTCTTGAGTTTAGTTTGACTTGCCAAACTTTCCATCTCTAAACTATATTCGACCTTTTCAAACCGTTTCCTACATGTTTAGGACATCACTAGTGTGGTGTGTGCTACTTATGTAGACATAAGTAGTATATGATGTTATTCGTGAACAGAATGTCTGGCAGCAGAGAGACAAGAAGATCAAACAGTAAAGAATAAAGACAGACTGCAATTTGTCTGAAAATGCAAGAACAATGAAGTCCGAGTCATTGTGAGACAATTGATGGACATTTTACAAATTGAGCATTTAATATATGGTTGTTAGGTTTTATTAACAAGTTCTGTAAATTGTTGTTTAATACAATTGATTGTCCCCACCCGTGTTCTGTTCACTACACTGGTACGAACACTATTTCTGTATTACAACTTTTCATCTGTTTTTCGGATGTAAGTTTTCTCAACTCAAGCTAATGCATATCTATTTAAAACCAATTAACTTACCAGAAATGTCTGAATGGTAAACATATTTTGAATTATGACTATTAAAAATTTTGTTTTAGAATTCCTAAACAACATAACAACCAAGTGCACTCGCACGTTGAGTTTTAACGATAGTGGTTCAAGTTGTACACAACTTCCGAATATTTTAACGTACACGGATGGAATAATGTTTTTACGACTACCGATATCAAAACTTTTTCAAAACAAGAGTATTCCTTTGGAAGCAATTATGGCCAGTAATAATACGATTGCAATTCGTTTATTTATATGTAAGAACTTAAACAGTGACGTAGTACCCTGTCCAACATCTCCATCTTCACTCGATTCAACCAACCAAACATGTATGTATGCAATCATGGGAGTAAGTTACAAATCATGATGTGTATTTGCTTCTCATCATTGTTTATCACAAATAACATATATTTTAAGATCGAAACTGACTTGCTGATTATTCTCTGACTACAAAAAGGTAAGACTCCTTCCTATGAAAATTTCTATATTCTGTAGAAATCTTGGATGTTGAACAAATATGTTAAGTAAAAGACAATGTATCATTTACTATTGTTTCTCAATCGTATTTTATATCCTGAGTATTTCTGTTTGACTATTTGTTATCTAGCTTAATATAATCAGCAGGAAGTCCTGTATTTGCGTCAATTTGTGCTAATCGGTACTCACTACCTGGAAATATATTTGGTCTTTAGGAGATGGATGTATCATGTAGGGTTTAAATCTGTATCATCCAGAGCTACAGTCAGTGACATTGAAATTGGTATACTGTGGCCATCATTGACCTCCTATGGGGCAAGCCAAGTTATCTCTTGATATCAGTCAATGTCATATCATCTAGATCTTAGTGCCACCGAATTTTTATTTAGTGATTTTCGCCGTGGATACTAGCCAGATTTCATTGGGAAATGAACATCTCTAACGTTTGAAATATCTCTTACTGAGCAGTGCCAGCGTATACAGCATTTTACCTTCATCCCCTCAAAATAAACAACACAATGCATTATCACATCCGGTCACTTGGCGTAGTGACATTAAATTTTGTCCGATAGATTTGATTAGCAATATAAACTATACAACATGACGTCCACCATTGCTGAGTGGTTGTTTTATGACAACAAGAGAAATGGTCATCCTAGGTTACATATTACGTAGCGTGCAGAGGTTTAAAAATATTTTTAAACTTCCATAATTTACTCCACCAACTGATTTTAATTGGAAAACCACTGAAAACCAGGAAACACTGGACAGCTGTTTTATCCTATAATAGCTTGATATTACCGGTATAATTGTATAAATTATGTGTGGTAGTGTAAATTTACAGTGCAATTTTTATTTCCCTGATATTTTCTTTTTTGAAACAAGGTGAAGTTTAGTATGATTTATAATAAAAAAGGTATAACAAGCATTTCAGTTGAATTTATCATTGCAAATGTCACAACTAAAAAATTTGATCAGTTTCACACAGTACAATTTATTGAAGTAAGTTCTAATGAATATTCTGCTTAAATGTTGATAATAATTACAACTAGGAATACTACCTGACTGACAGTAGGTATAAGTTGTGTTTTATAGTCAAGTCTGGCGAGACTATAATTCATGGACGAACCAATCAGGTATAAAATAACAGGTCATGGATTTTGGCGCGAAATTTACTCATTCATTTGGCTAGACAGAGTGTCTTGGCATTATAGCTAATGTCGGTTCATGATGAAAATTCTAAATCTAATTCCTAACATTAATCATTAACTATAAATCATAATTCGAATTCCTCACACTGATCTATAACCCTCATTTGGTCCTAGTTATCAGGTGGACACTTTCAAGGTCAGTCTAGAGTCGCTCAAAGGTCGTCCATAAATTATAGTCTCACAGACATTTTATCATGTTTACTGCTATATACCAATTAATATGTGCATAAGTATATCATTTTGAACGTTAAGATAACCGCTGATTTTAGTGTCCAGTCTTTTGATAACAGTTCATTTTTTTGCACTAATAGATTAGTATGGTGGATAGGTGTCATTTGATCATCATTATGTTACCATCTATTAATCATTATTTCTGTCTGTTATAATTTCTCTTATTACGACCCAGCTACCCCTATTGCTTAGTTTTCTTGGAAACTACTTCACTTGACAAGTCACCGAATCAGAACACGGTTGAACAGGAACTCACTTATACGTTTCAAAGCTTAATACTTTGCCAAACAAGCTTGTATTTCACCCATATTTTGATGTCAAATATCGGATAAGATTCGTTAGACAAAACAATATAAAATTAATTATGAAGATGTAAAATCTGCCTTTTGGGATAAAAATAGGTGATTCGATTACCGATGATAGGTTTCCAGTTTAGCGTAATTTGGAGATGTGCTCTCTAACGAATTGACATTAACTAGAGAAACATTTAGAACTAAAAATCACTAAAAAGCTGATTCATTCTATCAATGTCATGGCTTCATTTGTTTATATGTCTCCAGACTAAGGCTCCTTGTTTGTTTTTTAAAATAAATTTTCAGCTAACATTGATTTGTTGAGAAAACCATCTCGGTAGGGTTTCGTTCACTGAGCTGAACGGCTTAATCAAAAAGCTTTCACTTTATTTCTAAGCATCATCAGCACAAACTTCCCACAGAAGCGGCCTATTCGAATTTATTCACACATGACTAACAGCTTATTTTATTCACATAAAGAAATTATCGGTGAACGAAGGCTTCACAACTAAACCACTCAGCTCAGGAAACGAGGCTACAGATATTCTCTATAATTAACTGAAGAAAATTAATCCCAAGCTAAAATGATTTAGATAAAGTGTTATTGTTAAACCTAATTATGTCAAATATACAGTTTGCTGACCCAATTGTTGAGTTTCTGTTGCTGTAGAGAAAGGTGAAATACATTGATTGTAGTCAAAGCTTATTTTCACAGAATGTAAAACGGCATGTTTCCTAATGAAAGGGAAATAAGTTCTTCCTTTGAATAAGTGGTTAATTTTAGTCGTTAAATAATTAGACGTTATATAAAGGTCAGTTGTTCATCGCGAACTCCAAGACCATTGTTTCGATCTTTAGTGGGGCTGTGGATATGCACTAGTGAATAGTCCTATATTAGGACAAAAGAGCTATTCGGTGCTGCCTGATTTTCGCTAGTTGTAAAACTAACGTCAGTTTATCATGTAAATTATAAAGTTCAACAACCTCTACAAATGTCTTACACTAATATTAGTACTTGTCTATTTATTATTTACACTTCCACACTCTGACCAGTAGACTTCGAATAATAGTTAAGGTTAGAAGATTCTTGTTGAGATATTGACAGTACTAAGTCTTGTATTTTTGATCGGTAATATAACAAATGATAGATTATCTTTCTATTTACGTTGTTTCCGTATTCAGGAAAACAGTTTATCGAACACAAGTACATTAATAGCTACTGATTATCTAAGCGGAAATATAGGTTACTTAAAAAATTATCCAGTTCGAGCTGGTTATATAGAAAATCTTAATACTACTAATCCATATATAGTAATGGTATCATACCCATTAAATCCAACAATATATCCAAATGAATATGGTCGAATTAATTTTGGTTGGTGGCCTATACCGAATATTGGTGATTGTACAAATTTTACTGGTAAAAGTAAAACAATATTATTTGGACAAAACACTTTTAGTTCCTGTGTGCTAAGGTGATGTTTTTTTCTTTCTTTATATTTGACATTTCTTATCACAATTATATTGTATTTAGTAAGGGTTTATCATTTTTCTAAAGCTGATAACTGGCATAATAGTTTGTTCATTGAAAATAGATCATTTCTTAATGATTAAACAATCAGCTTATCAACTATCATAGAGAGTAACCACATAAAGCTTGAATTCAATCTTTTGATTTCCTGTAACTTGTTATTCATCAAAGCAATATCATTTCTGTTATAACTTGTGCCCTGTGTTCTATTAATGTGTAACGTAATGATACCGCCAATTAGAGAACAGTGAATTATCGACCGGACCAATGACGCATAAAATCCGTACAAGCAGTTTAGACTCTTTATCGGTCCTTGCTTCCCGCCTAGCCCTGCCTGTTAAGTCCAGAACATCAATCCCAGCCTCTGCGATAAAATTATGTATTTCAAATATACTGGGTTTATATACTAACCAAACAGACCACATCGTACCATAAAATAGGAACCAACATTTGTACAAGATTTAACCAAATGTGGCTGTGAATTTGGGAGGTAGTAATTGATGGACTGGGCATAACTCAAGAACGGTAAATCGTATAATAATGGTTCGTAGGTCAAAATAAAGCTTATGATAAGAAGTACACGAATATGAATAGTTTGGTAACTTAACGATTGCACGACAAAAATATACGTATAGTAATAGTTCAGAAATAGATCCCAACAGTTACCATTCATTATTTTCATCGGGATGTAACAATTTCTAACACAAAAGTTGTAAATACTGTCAATAAACGCGTAAATAATGAACTCTTTATACACTTTACTGTCTTTATATATATCACTCAAATGAATCGAACATTTTAATGAGACTAGAGTGAAAAATGACTATTCGACATTGAAAGAAAGTTGAGTAACGTGAAGAATTGATCAAAGTTAGAAAAATTAACCAATCGGTGCCGTCCCGATGGTCCGATGTCTTGTGGTATCATGGATGCGCATTGTTAAATAGTCTCACATAAAAATGAAAACCTGTCTAGTCCTTCTGAGTCTAGATGGTTGTCTAAGATTTATCTTCAATGTAGATTGAAATAAGTAAATTGTGTAATCCTTTAATAATCATAATAATCACTCATTTTTATTACTACGGTGGTAGAATTTGAAAATCTAGTTCGAGTCACTGAATTTAAACCAGCTCTCAGAATATACATCATAAGAAGTATTAACTCACTGACCAATGCAAATATGTTTTATTGATGAGTGTCAGCTGACGCGAAACACCAGATTTAGGACTTTTTAAAAGTTACTTTCAATATTCAGAAATACTGACAGAAATATTGATAAGAGCCTATAAAATTCCCAGTTGACTAAATATTTGCTGAGAAATTCTAAGCTTTCTTTGAAAACAGAAATAGTAGGATTGCGTCATGACCAAGGTTTAACTTCATAATAACAAATTGAGCATTGGGTAGATTATTACCAAGAGAAATATATTTGAGATGGTGGAGAAGATTTGTAGCTCAGGTGGATGATTTTGATGGAGTTTTGTTCTCTGAGCTGGATGGTTTGGTCGTGGAGCTTTCATCGTTCTTCTGAACGACATCATCAGCACAAACTTCAGATAGAAGTGAAGTGTTCGAATTTCTCCATATGCGTTTCACAGCTTGTTCTGTGCACTTCGATGTTGATTGGTTCTTATTGACCTTAAATTTGGTCAATAAGAACCAATCAACATCGAAGTGCACAGAACAAGCTGTGAAACGCATATGGAGAAATTCGAACACTTCACTTCTATCTGAAGTTTGTGCTGATGATGTCGTTCAGAAGAACGATGAAAGCTCCACGACCAAACCATCCAGCTCAGAGAACAAAACTCCATCAGAAATATATTTGTCAAGTTCTGATGGGTAGAAAATCAGAAACAACCATGGAATTACAATCTAACCATTTATCCCAGTTAACATATCGTTAAAATGTGATCTTCGAGTTTACTATCAGTTAGTCAAACGTAGAGTCTGGCACACATATACTTTTTCAAGTTGCCATACCATATCAGTACAGTAATATGAAATTATAGACAGATCCTATGGTAGCAGAAGTCGTGATATTACTATTGGTAGTGGGAAAGGTTTGAAATAGACAATACCATTCAAGAAAGAATGAATTTCCAGATTGAATATAAGATAATTTGATGATCGAAATCAAGGAAAAGACAAAGAGTGAATGCGTATGGGCCGATCCTGAACTATGTCACCCAAAATCTCCAGCCGTTGGTTCCGATGATCATGTGGACACCAACTATGGTAGTTTGGACACTTCAACACGGCCCAGTCAAATAATCAATGACTTCACTAAAGATCATGTCCAGCTATTTAAAAATCAGTTCGTTGCACAACTTGTGACAATAGGGGTTTGATTAATTATTTTATTGATATGTAGCAACCAAATAATTTGTAAGGAAAAAGCTCCTCTGTTTTACATTGGTGTTTCTTTTGTAGACTAAAGCCATTGAGTGAAAATAATTATACAAATTGTAATGAACTGGAACAAGTCATTAGTATGTCATTAAATTGTACAAAATCACCTATTACTCATGTCGGTATTTGGGGCAACGCAGACAATAAACACATAACAGATTGGATTAAAGTGGATGTATTCAATGAAAAAAAGAACACTGTTTTTTCTAATGGAACAAAATCTTGGTAAATGAATAAATTTTTATTTTCTGAAAACTAAGTCACACTTTCTTTTTTCCTCCATAGAATTAATTCATTTGACTTAACAACAATTACTATTACTACTGTCCATAGGTACGATATGTGCTTTGCACCTTCGAAGTACTAAGTACTTCTACAAGACTGGCAGGATTCTAATCCTGTACACACCCTGTGTAATGAGCAGATAGAAGTAGTCGAGAAATTCGTGTATCTAGGTAGCTGCATAAGTGCTGGTGGTGACCTGAGTGATGAGATCAATTCACGTATAGTGAAAGCCAGAGCGGTTTATTCCAATCTGGGCAACCTTTGGCGCCTTCGTGATGTCAGTCTCTCTGTAAAAGGTCGGATCTACAACGCGTTGGTGAGAGCAGTTTTGCTGTTTGTGAAACCTGGCCTCTTCGAGTTGAGGATGTTAGACGACTCTGTTTTCGATCATCGCTGTCTCCGAAGCAGTGCTGAAATCCAGTGGCAACACCATGTTAGTAATGCAGAGGTTCGGCATCGTGTGTTCGGGCACAGAGACGACAATCCAATTAATGTCACCATCTTGAGACATCGACTTCGGTAGCTTGGACATGTCCCAGAGAATTCCACGTTGTGCATTATTTGCTGACTCTGGGACTGGTTGGAAAAAGCGGAGGTGGTCAGTATATGACATAAGATTCGATCAGCACCAAATGTCTAAATGAACACGACGTTGTTCATTGTATTGGTGATGTTTCGTCTTCTAAGCTGAATGTTTTGGTCTTCGAGCACTCAATGTTCTTCTGAACAGCATCAACAACACAAATTCGAGGTAGGAGTGATCCATCAACCATAACACTGTAGCATAACTAACAATCACTTTAACAATAAATATGTTTTAGTAGTATCTTAATGGGTAGAAAATTGCATTTCTGACGTTTTGCAAGGTAATGTAAGTCACTTCACTTTACTCTGGAGAAGTGACTTACATTACATCGCAAAGCGTCAAAAACACAAATTTTTACTCACTGGGATATTGCAAAAATATATTTATTATTAACTTTCTACCCAATGCTTATTCTATTTGAAACTATCATGTCCAACCTTGGTATTGATAACTACTAAGTGATTTTGTTTCAAAACTATAATCTGACTAAATACCAAGTGATTACACGGAAGATTATCCAAAGAGTGAGAAACTCACATACGAGTGTAATTCTTATTATGACAAAGTCCACAAAAAATGATAATCAAAAGTGTACAGCTATAATTTGGCTTAGTACCACTTAAGGATTCTTTTCGTCCTGAAATGAAATACTTAGAAAGAATGAATTAATGTTAACTAAGAAAACGGTTATCTTCTTCTCACATGAGACTCTATTTCATCATACAGATATAATCCATTTGAACAAAAAAAAAAACTGGAAAGACTTGAATTTACATCCGAATGGCCCTGATAACGACCACCTTGACAGCTTTTCAAGTTTCTACCTTAACACTATCAGATCCAGAAAAAAATTCAAATTATGACTGTGACATTGTTATGACGTATGCCACTGTCAATTATCACGTGATAGAATCGCCAATCAAAACATTGACTTACATGACCTTGTCCCTGTGCTAAATCAATGATGCATTGATCAGCACGAGCAACCCTGTAATCTGGTGTACACTAGTTATCGAAGTGTACTACACATTTGATTTATACTATTCTTCTCTTTAAAACAAGTTTTTATCTCCTTATTTTTTTCAGGTCATGTCAAAATATCATTATAGGTCAAACAATTAACGTTTATTATGCCAGAAAAGGTAGTGTATACGATCCACAAAATCGTATTATTTCAGTGAACAAAATTTATAAACGTGGAACTATTGGATATAAAGTAAGACTATTATTATTAGTATACATTACTTTCTTCCATATTTTATATTTGTGGTGCCCATTTTAAATAACTCTACAGATAAACAAACATAACAGAGTAAAAATCCTAGTACAATACTGCTTGGATTCTTGGAACCATACGTTTCAGCCATCCAACTTAAAATGATTTTATAGAGGAATTCATCGGAAATTAGATAAATTTGTCGGTAGTATGTGTCTCAAATTGACGATAGTCCACTTCCATTGATAACAATTGACTTACTTTCGAAAGACCTTAACTCTACCACTCATGACTTTTCTGGAACTCATTGGTGAGCATATTATCAGCTTTAAATGTTTGTATATCCGCACGGATGAGGAATCCAATGGGTGTCCAGTACTCTTGTTTTTCAGCAGTAACCCAGTTGAGGTGAATCCGTAACAAATACCGTTTTAACAGTTACATTTAATAATTAACTTATAATACAATGTAACTAACCACAAAATAATACCAAGAAATACTCCAAACAAAACAAGATCCTCCCATATAATGCACAAAAACGGGTGAATTCGTGTTTAAAGCAAATATAAGCGATAAACCAATGTAGAAGGACTTCAGTTAAAGTTGGAATACTGGCTAGCACTGGAATACGGGACGCGCATTTTGTATTATTTGAGACTAGTCAGGTGGATTTATCTAAATCCCAGCGTTTGATATCCATACGGCAACTCGAATGCAGTATCTTTCACTTCAAACGCTTATAGCATCATAGTTTGTGTCCAGATAGCCACTTCCTTATGCAACGAGCATGAATTTCACTTACGCTTATATCTCTCCACTATCGATGTGATGACGTGCAATTAATCAGTCTCTTTCAGCATCTACAAATCTTGTGCTGTTACAAGTTTTTTAATTAATGTCACAGTAGTGACTAACAGTAGAATACATGACTTGCGTTCCTTCTTATTTAGGACTAGTCAACTGGAAAGATTCCGTAGACTTAGAAGGTATAACTGTTTATAAACTCAGACAAAAACTCATTAATGAATATGTTATAAATTGTATCTTTACAATGGACAACATCTTATGTTAAATAAGCATCGAAAATGAATTTCCATAAGCAATAACACTAATTCCTTGTAATTCGATAAAATCCTATTCTAAAACGTGATGACATAACGGCCAAAAATTGATTTGTTATTTTCAGTTAGATCTTTAATGAATTATCTCTGGCCTGAAAATTTATACTTAAATATGTTGGTTTCATTCCTCAATATACATTCAATTGGTTAGCTAATGTTTCTATATTCTGATAACTATTCAGCCGTAAAGTAAAACAGCTGCGAAACGTGGCCATTAACAGTTGAAGATACTCGTAAGCTACTAGTATTTGACCACAGATGCCTTAGAAATATTGCTCACATCTGCTGAGGTCACCGGGTAAGTAATAGTGAAGTTAGACGCAGGGTATTAGGGAATGATGGTAAATCAATTGATGAGGTTATGAATCTTCATCGACTGACATGGTAGGGCCACGTGCTGCGTATGCCTGAACACTGGTTACCACGACGCGCAATGCTAACGGGTGTTGGAGATGGTTGGAAGAAAGTTAAAGGGCGGCCAAACCAAATCGTGGAATCACTGCTTGAAGTCATTAACTTCTAGTCTGAGCCATGTTGATAGACGCAGACTACTTGGTTGGGGTCCACGGGACTATCATAACCAATGGTTGAAGACTCTTGGTGACATGGCTCAGATTCGATTACAATGGCGTAGGTGTATACACTCTCTGTCTTCCTTTAAGCTAAGAGAATAAAATCGCTTCGTATCTTTCTTTCTACGAACTAATTCTTTCTTCCTGTACTATACCTTTATACGCAATCTTTCTTTTGTATACTACTATCATTGAAGTAACTACTTCTATGATTGAGGTGTTTATCTTGCTGTGCTAACGCGGTATGGCAACTTCGACCGATGCATATATGTGCCTGGTCCTACGTTGTAGCTGACTGACTGACTCACTAGTGACGTCTTGTCACCTTACGTAACTGCTGCTCTAGATAAGGGAATTAATATTTATCAAAGTAAACAATAGAACATTTTTATTTTTGGAATTCTTATATGAAATATTTAATTTTCAGTTAAACTGTATCTTTATTTTAGTGTCAAGGTTATGCATGTATAGACAACAGTCAATTAAATCCTGAACAGAAATTCCTTATTACTACAAATGTCCTGTTTCATGATTTAACCTTATGATGAAGATATTCCATAAAAGCAAATGTCAACAACTTTATATGACTGTCACTATTATTACCAGTAATATAGTAAAATTGTGACTAAATATCTTTTATTTCTTGTTACTGAATTCTTTATTCACTTGAATATTAGTATCCATGAAGGTATATCTTACATAAGTGTAAAACTTTTCTATACATCTGAATAGAATTGATTTATCAGTTATAATAAAACAATCTTTTACATAATAATATATATTTCAGCTACCGTTTGCTTCAAACTAATATCATTCATTATTGAATACATTGAAGAAAAATGATTTGGTCACTAGTGAAGAGTAATACTATGTATTGATAGGCGATTATTCTGAAATAGTGATAACGTATATTAATTTATCGGTATAGGGTTGTGGAGATTGTTGAATTTAGATTGATACCATGAATGGATCAATTTTAGACCACAATTGAAACCTAGGAGCAATGGACGACCGTTTCGTCTAGAGATTAGGCATTGGCGCGCGAAACCGAAGGTCCTGGATTTGAGTCCTGCGTGCGGGATCGTGAATACACACTGCTGAGGAATCCCATAATAAGATGACCGTCCAGTGCTACCAGGTTTTCAATGGTGGTCTAACATTGATCCATTCATCAATGTAAACATACTGATTTAATTTGTAAATGATTTTAATAAATGAATATGTGATGATATACTTGTTGGTAGATATAGACCTCCGATCAACTGCCCATTAGGATGGAAAATAGTGATGATATACTTTTTTATTATCGCCCTAACTTACTACATGTTCGCTAAACCTATTTCTTGTCATAGACCGAAACAATTGATAAACTACGTGATACTGTAAACCATATCAATCAGAATCTCAGGAACACTGAGTAACTTCCCCGGTACTAATTTGTATGATTCAAACTTATATGCATTAAGTACGAAACTATAATATTAATAGTATGAAACTGAGTGACTGATTTCTGATTAATTTATTATAATTTAAAGATGGTAAAAGATATTATAGTGGTGAAAACTTCCAATTAAAAGAATAGGAATATATCATAACCTAACTATTTAAGATATTGTGAACTAGAATATATATATAAGTGGACAATATTGTTTTCAGTTAGATCTTCATCAAGCTTTACACTAATATACAGTAATGTATTTATATGCATAAACGAAATTATTAAACTAATCAAGGCAGTTTATGAGACAGTAATAACAGTGGAATAGATTACATAATAAGTGAAAAGTAAAAATTGATAATGTAATGATATTTGGTTGTAAGCAGCTGACGAGAAACCTCGAAATATTATGAATTCATACTATTCTGCATCAATATTTGTTCTTGCTTTATTTAAATGTAATGATAGGTGTACTAGTTGTGATATGAATAATAAACGCTTGAATTAATGTTTCATAATACGATATAAGTCAATAACACTCATAAAAATTACAAGATTACGTAATATGAAGTGTTCAAATAATTGGGCAATGAAGTGTATATTTAAGAAAGAAAGGGGGGATGAAGAACAATAAACGAACTGAATATAGAAAATAATAATCAGTAAAATTTATTGTTGTTTCCTACCAAGGAAGAGATAAAAGTGTTACATGTTATTACAAGCATATATACTGAGTTCTAAGAGAATAACTTTTAAATTTTGACATTTTCACTTATACTCCCTGACTCAACAGAATTCATGGATTAAAAACCTACAATGGACTTCAAACTGTTGTATTCGGGTCTTAAGATAATAAAATAACCAGGTAGGTAGCGAAGGTTTGAAGTGAAACCTTTTTTTTTTTTGAGAAATGATATTCATTTCTAATCTCAATAATAATGAACTTACAAAGAAGACATGAATAAACTAACTATTATATTAGGATACTTCTTATGTTTACTAGGGTCATATTATTAGTATAACAATATCTTGATAATTAAACCAATCAACTTAGGATGATTGGGTCGGAATTCTCCTCCACCTACTTTGTTTCCAGTGACAGTAAAGTATCAGTCAGTCAGTCCATCGTAATCAACATAAAATGTGGTACAGATGTGTATAGGTTATAATTATCACATCTCACACTAGCACAAAGCAATGAAATTAACAGGGTATCAAAGAATTCGAAGTAGTTGTAGTATCGGTTATAGCAAAACTAAATATATAGAATTTAGTTTGAAAAGAAGGAATGAAATAAAGGAATACAAATTATGTACTTGCTTTAAAACTCAATATTTATGGGGAGATAAAGTAAATCCAACTAAACTACGGCAAATAACTCTAAGCCATATCAACAAATGTTTCCAACTACTGATACCAGTTATTTGAGGGATTTCAAACAAAACGTTTCCATCAGAGTAACAGACAATTATTTGATAAACTGATGGGACATTTTGGTTTGTTCGCACCCAGCTTTTATCCAAAATGATCCCAAGTTGGTCATAACGCACTTTGGGGTAGGCAGAGGACGAGTAAATATAATGCATACCATAACCATCTTAACCAATGAAGTTGCACAGTTTCACCAACCGATATATCATCATTGCTACCTAGTAAATATGTATCTAACCTCAATGCTGCTTATTTGATTGTTTCAAAAAAAACCCGGATAAAGCTTTGAATGAATCTGTGATGTAAATTATCAAACAACTGATACGAAGATGGTTTCTTTAATAATATATAAAGTATAATTATTCACTAAATAAAGAAAAACTATAAAACACAACAAAATATAACATTTCATTCATTTACATGTGTTCGTTTCCTAATGCGAGAGAGTAACTCATCTTGATCACGTTTTATACGATCAATCACTTTGGCTAACAGGTTTTCACTAGCCTGTAAAGCTGTTTTAATTTGTTTACAATTATTGTTACTCTCCGTATCCTTTTCTTGTTCATTATTATTATTATTATTATTATTATTATTATTATTATTATTATTATTATTATTATTATTATTATTATTATTATTATTATCTATAGTCTTCTCCTTATGGTCTTCATTTTGCAATGCTAATAATTGACTTTTCATTAATTCAACGCATATTTCCAAATCAAATTTTGCTTCATCCATTTTACCTTGATTAAAATAAGATTGAGCACGACGAAATAGTACTTTATGGATATCTTGATAAGATATTTCAAAATTATCCCAATAGAATTGAAGTTTTTCTTGTGAAAATAATGATGCATTAATTATATCTTGATGATAATAATCATTAGTTGATGAATATATAGAAGAATCTATTTGACATGAAAGAAGATATAAAGCATGTGAACAATTTCGAGCACAATATTCATTAGATCCAACTTTTAATTGACACAAAGCAACATTTGAAAGGAGGCTGAAAAAAGCGTGAAAAGACGATTCAATATATTGAATTAAGTATAATCTATCTATGTAAGGAAAGAGAGGAACTCTAAATTGTTGATGATTAGGACAGTAACGATGTACGTTATGAATGATTTTTAAAATTAAGATTGATTTCTGCTATTCATTCAACCATTCGATCCATTTCATAAACCAGTATTATGTAACTAAAACTTTTCATTAGTTATAATGATTTTTGTTTGGAAGTTATTAAATCAAAAATCATTATAGGCTATGGGAGAGTCTTCAGTGTAGAGACTGACTAGGAGTAACTCGGCCCAACTTACCATAATACATCCTCACGACGTGATGGAATTAACGAAATACATAGCAACGTTGGAATAATAGTGGTGTCAGCCATCATATTTTACTTATTTGAACACAAAGATATTGGTACAAGGAGGCACCAAATACATATGCACCACACAAATCTCATTTGATTTGTGTGAGGACTGTGGTACTGCCTGGGTGCCCAAACCGAAGCAGGTGGTGTTCTTAGGGAGCCACACCCGGAGCCTTCGACCTAAAGGTCTGATCCACAAGGCAGTGGAGCATTATAAGGAGATGCAGTCCCATCGTAGCCGATGACCGACGATTGGTTCATACGCCATTTGTTCCTTTACGATCCTGGAGGCCATGTGCACCATTGGTTTGGAATCAGGGTTTTCCAACTCCCCTAGGTGAACTCTCCGTGTCTACCAACCCGGTTAAGGCGCCGAACATTCGCTTTTCGTCCTCTCAATTTCGTAAACAGAACCACCGCCACGAGAAGGCAGTGAGTAGGACTTCCCTGACAGAGGCTATATACACGTGGCCATGTGAGAACATTTCGAGAGGGAGGGCGGACTGTCCCCACTCTCGGCTGTACCAGGGCATTTGGGGGCCGCCAGTGATTATAAGAAAGAACAAACGTCCAAAACATATAAATGAAATGAAACAATACATGAGGAATTACTGAAAATTAAGATTTAGAGGAAGATAAAAAATTGAATGAATCTACGTCATTGCAAATAATTTCGAGTCATAACATTCAGAGTCTTCAACCACTGATCCTGGCCATTAGATGGATCATATCCAGGTAATCTACGATTGTCAACACGAATTCGTTCAACGGTTAATGATTTGATGGACTAATGACATTTCTTGGTTTATTTACCTCGAATTTTCTTCTACCTTACTCTTATGTCAATCGGTCAGCGCTTTGCTTGCCCATAACTTGTAGAATGGACGTACTATAGAAATAAACACTAAAGGTGGGTTTTTTTTAAAAAAGATAACTGTACTAAGTGTAGTGAAATGAGGCAAGTGATTATAATAAGGAATTAATTCTTGAATGTGATTGACCTACTAAATAAGGGTTGCTGAGATTGAAAACAAGATTTCGGATAGAGGAATGTAAGTTGTTTGACAAATCCGAAAGATAACTATAAGAATAGTGGAAATGTGTTACTTTTGTCTAAAGGTGCTATACACCTTTACAGGAATGGAACAGATGTTAGTTTACGTTGATCAGATACCATACTATAATAATGTTATGGTTTAGTAGTTTAAACATTTAAATTTTAACCGCTATAAAAGAGGATCGAGTGACTCCTCACACGTAACAAATATATCTCGAAGTCTAGCGCGAAAATACGTACTTATTTATATTCAACTATGAATATGATGTACTGGAATAGAATGACTATTACTGTACTAAGGATAAGGAAATGCTGTAGTAGGGTGACTTAAACTATTTGTATAACATAAATGAGTAGGGAACCACTTATTATCAAAATTAAAATTTTCCAACCCAGTTATTATGTTAACTTTAAAAATTCAGTTCAAATTTGAGTTGGTTTCTAATACTGAGTAAAGTGAACAAAATTACGAACCTGTGTCTTACTGACTTTTGATGAAAGAAATATTAGGTAGTGAAGATCATATTTGATGTTGAACAAGGTGATCCCGACAGCTGTTAAAGGCGATTGTCATACTCCGGTTCCCCATACCATGGACGGATAATCCTTCTTGAATGATTTGAAAAAGTAAACTGGGTTAGGTCGATACAAACGACTTGAGAGAGTGACTGTAGTGCTCAAGGGAAAACTGCTTGAGGCTGGCTACGCACCGCCTTTCTATTAGCTGTTTTACATGTTAGCTATATACTTATAGGACATTAGCACGGAGGATGCAAATCTATGGTTTGAGGTGAGGTGTGAAATTTTTATAGACCAACTTTTTATAAACTCTTTCTTCCGATGAGAGAAAGCAGTATTGCTCCCGATGTTGGTTGTTTGGAGGAAACATCTTACTGTCGTCACACCCCTGTATAGTCGTAAGTGTGACTTTGACATCAAACCATGAAGGCTTCTGGTACTAAGCTTTGATTATGATGAAGCTGCAGTTAAGTCTTTAAAACATTCGTTTTTTAACCAGCAAAATCGCAAAATTGAACAGCGTTTTACCTACTTATGTTTAGACAATCGGTTAGTATAACAGGCCTACATAGAGTGAGAGTTAAATTCAAATAGGTACACCTGTACTTCATAAATGAATTACATCGACTATTAGTTAACTTACGTATTGAGTATGTGAAGTTGATCAGCAGCTTATGAATTTAATAAAGTGTCAAAAACTGACTCTAAGAAAAGGATTATTTTACAAGTTACCTGAACTGTACGAAAATCAATTCAAAAACTTACATAAACATCAAGCGTAAAGGTTTACATTGCAATGGAAACATAGTTTTGTGATCAATATCCCCAAAACGATCCCAAATTTTGTAGTCTGAACTGTTCAATTTTTCACCATTATTACAAGTTATGGGTTTTTCACCTGATACCACTTGAATCCAGTGTATATTATTTGTACTAGTTTTATTTTTCGTACAATCAGATCCATTTTCGTCAGTTTCCATTGGTAAAACATCATTTACACATGTTTTTTCAGCCCAATAAGCTAATGAAACAAGCTGTAAAGCTCTGGAATAACATGCAAAAGCTGATGACCAAATATATTTGAATAATTTCTCTCTGTTATTACTACTATTTGAATTGTTCGAGTGTAATGTTACACATTTCAAATGATGATTTACTAACCAAGAACCTCTTTCTTTTAAATACGAAGCACGATATAACCATTGGTTTGTTAAATCAGGATTCCAGTCAACTGTAGTATTCTCTCTTAAATCTGATTCTAATATTTTAGCATTAGCATTCATAGTAGGATCGCCACAGATCGGTGGAACAAGTACATAGTCAACGCGTAATGATAGATGATACTCCTAAATGAATAAAATATATGAAAACACTCTGAAAAGTTATCTAATGACTAACAGCAATAAGAAATGGTTACTAAACGATCATATGAAACATTTCTGCAATTTACCATTCAACTTTTACTCCGAATAAAACTAACAAGTAAACAGTAGACCGAAATACAAACTATATATTAGTCTGTCAAATATACAAAAAATGGAGATCCTAAAAACTATATTTTAATAAAGTTCCGTTTATTGTAATACATGTTTTATCTTCGTTCCTATGGTTAAAAATATCTTTGAAGGTCCTCAAAAGTCAGGTTCTCCAATTGTTTTATAGTCCCATTTTAAAGTGTTACATTGTTTCATTGCAGCCCTCTCATGATATACTGTATTTGGAGAATGAAAAGAAATTGAATATGGCTAGTACCGGTAAAAATGACCAAGTGTATTAAGAACATCCATGTAAAAGGTAGTATCCACTGTTTTTCTCTCAGTTAAAAATTCAGTGGGCTACATCATGAATGTCAAAATTATTAATAGTTAGGATTGGCTATTTTTTGAGCAGACACGTCTATAACGAGTAACTAAGATGCAATTAAAGTAGTTCAGCATTGCCACAACACTATTTGGAGGGATATGTAGTTTCAGACACCTTAAATAAAAGTATTAACGTTTACTAAATAATGGCAGAACCAATAACAACACCTATTATTAGAAATCGTAATGTGTTAAGGCAATGTTTAACATGTACTGCTTAATGAATGAATTTTAAAGTAAAAAAGATAAGAGCTTATTGCACCAGTCGGGATTTCAATGTTTGTTGCTTTTTCGTATGGTTTACTACAGAAAGCCCCTAAATGCCCTGGTACGGCTGAGAGCGTAGACAATCCACTCTCCCACTCCAAATGGTTTCACATGGCCATGCGTATACAGCCACTGTCAGGGAAGTCCTACTCATTGCCTTCTCGAGGCATTACTGTTGTTCACGAAATTGAGAGAATGAAAAGCGAATGTCCGAGGCTTTAGCCGGGTTGGTGGATATGGAGGGACCATCTGGGGAAGTTGGAAAACCCTGATTACAAACCAATGGTGCAACTGGGCTCCAGGATCCTGAAGGAACAAATGGCGTATTGACCAATAGTTGGACTGCTCCACTGCCTTGTGGATTAGACCTTTATGTCAAAGGCTCGGGTTGTGGCTCTCTAAGAAGACCACCTGCTTCGGTTTGGGCACCCAAGTAGCATCACAGCCCACACACAAATCAAGTGACTTGTGTGGCGCATATGTATTCGTTGTCCCTTTGTACCAATATTTTCTGTTCAAATAAATAAATAAATAATACTACGGAAACTGATATGATTCCGTGGATAAACATTAATCTGTAGAGGAATAATTCTTTAAAGCATCATGATTAGTTCTCACAATTCGTGATTTTAGGTTTCTCTTGTCAATAAAGGACGAAATTAAATGTGTTAATGACGTCGAGATATGAGTGAATGTCAATTAATTAAGACTATCTGTAAACCTAAGGTAATAGTAATTCTACCATAAATTTTGTACATAAAGATTTGATTTTGCTGAGTACAAAAGTAACCAAATTTTCTGGTTAGCCGATTTGTCGTTTGATATCAGCTTATTTGTGTGGAAAAGCCTTGAGTTAACATAAGTGGATTTTGTGAGCAGTTGCTGTTTGATCACTTTTAACTGATTCAAACAACCTATTTTACAATGAAAAAACAAAATATTTCGTATAGTCGTTATCCTATTTTAGGTGGACTAAATAACCATCAAAAAAATAGTAAACTCATTTCCTTTTCAAAAAAATAGGAAAATCATACTCTTCGATGACCAAGAAACATTTACTGAGATATGGATATTGACATAGTTTCTCATCCTGGTCGTTTTAAAACCCATTTAAAATCTCCATCTTTAACCTTTTCCAATATCGACATAAGGACATTCCTGTCACTGAACAAATTCTATCTAATCACCTAGTTGGAAAGGCTTCTAAACATTGAAAGCAACTGAGGTTTGAAAAGACATAACGTCCCCAACTTAAATAACATATCGTTGGGATAAGTTTGTCGTAAAATTATAGTTACTATTTAGCCTCATTAATTCAAACTGCAGGTGGTCACATTACTCAAGGAAAACACAAAACGTTATGAAAATAAAGTATAGTAACTTCTAAGTAGATCTTTTATGCTGTAATTACACAAAACTGTCATTTTCCCATCACAAACAAGCGATCACCTTCAAAATCAGATTCCAGGAAGTAACATTCGTTCAAAAGCACATAGTGACATCTTGTTAAATGTTTTCCATCTCCATCCTTTTACCATAAATTGCTGCCACCAATCTTATCGCCCCAACGGTATTTTTTGATCTCCGCATTAAACAAGATGCCTTGAAGATTCGAAAACCTGGTAATGAGGACTGACATGCACATGCAAAGAATTGAATAATATAAAGTGGACCAAACTGGAAGTTGTATGGCCTGTTCTTATACTATGGTCTTAATGGCTCATAATTTCGTTTCTTTATACTTTTCTTCCTTCATAGCCATCTGATTTACCTTCTATCTCCTCTATAGACCTTTTACCCCCAAACAGGTTTACTTCTGTTCCTATGATCTTTCTGATTACATTTCATCTCGATTTCAAGATTATATTTTGTCACGCTGAGCCATCTTTTCTCAATTATAATTTCCCTATTCGAGCACTTAGCAATAAAACTATTATTAGTTTCCCTGAAGAAAAGGTTTAATACCTTTGTTTATTTTACTTCACTGTTACCATGTTTAACAGAATTTTATTACCACTATATATATATTTGCAATTGTACAGCTTTGAAAATAAATTCGCCGGAAAGAGAACTCTTCACTGAACCAATTTTCCTTAGCTTAAAATCTGTTTAATCTACTCCGATTAAAGATGCCAACGATAGGGATAATTACATGATAAAGTTTAACTAGAGGTTAATAAACGATTGTCTACACTATAACTACATACGCACATTGCGCACACAATAATATATAACCATCAAGAAATACGGAAAGTGAGGAAACTGACTCATGTAGCGGAATTATTAACCAATGTATCAATATTCTATCTGTGACCAAATATATTAAGCAATTTACAAATTAGTCAGTATATTATATTGAGTTCAGGCTTGTTTCATACTGCTTTACGACCGAGATATATAACCACCGAAAGCGAAAGAAAACGATGATTGATCATGGGTCAAGTGATTCAGATTAGTTCTTTATGCAAAAATGTTTCCAACCCGTTTCTCATCATCACAAAGATGCAAAGTTTAACCTATCTGGACAAGACACTAGTTGAATAATTCAAAATGAACACTGATTAAACACCTAAGCATTGTCGAACAAAATTATTATCAATTATTTTTTATTGATAATGAGGGGTATTTCTGGACTTTACAGAACAAAATGGATATCGTTAACATGATCCAGATATCTATTCATTATACGGCTAATAAAATTTCGGGGAAGCCAACAAACTGTCGGTAATTCAGGATTGATAAATATGCTTGGCTTACATCTGATAAGGATGTATTGAAACTACCTAAGTCACAAATTGAGTAAGAAAACTGTCTACTTTATTTGCAAATAATGCACATTTTAAAAATTTTCTTATAATAGGTAAGAAAACATGAGGATATGCACAAAAATAAAAACACAATATAGATTTGGCTCACTGTAGGAACTTCGTGTTTTTCATCTCTCTCAACGGATTCTATATCTACATTGAACACGTCCCCGGATGTACAATTAAAGAGGATTTTCTCTACCACACTTCTTAAAGAAAGTTGTTTCGAATTCGGCTGGTTTTTAAATTGCGTAGTGTCGGGAGAATTACCCAGAAGAATGCGAAAGCGCGAATTACTTTTCAGAACAATCGGCTCGCACTGTATATTAAAAAGCGAATGAAGTGGGCAGCATTCTAAATCAAGACCAGATTCGTGACCTTGGTTAAAGTCTATTACTGTACAGAAACATAGAGATCCATCTGTAGCTTTGTAGCACGAGGTCCCAGTATCTGATGTACTATGTTCGAGCTTTTTGATGCGATACATAGAGCACTGAGTAGCCATTGCCTAAACAGAACAAACTTAGTAAACATTTTAGCTGACTTCGTCAAAAAAAGAACATGTTTAGGAACTACGCAATATATTCTAGAAAAAATATCGGGATATACAAAACCAGTAACATATATTACAAATACAGTATCGGTAAACTACCAAGTTGTGCTGCTTACACCGTGAGCACAATCATAAGTAAGTATCCAGGATACCATAAAGCATGCAAAAGCTGTCATTAAACCTTCTTTGATGATCTCCCCATATCCACCATATTCATCCTCATCGACACGTTGATAAATTGCAGCGTATGCATAGACAAAGCATATGTTTGTTACAAAAAACATGAGGATTGCTAAAAAACCCGTAAATGAGGCTACACCCCAGACAACACCAACCATAATGGCGAAAACTTGCCTAAACCAATACACAACATCCAAAAAGTCGTTTTTGTCGTCAAATACAGATTCCATCTTCAGCGCCTTGAGAAATATACCATAGTTACTCACAAACTGAGTTTTCGTATTCACCTATTTTTCATAATTAGCAAATCCTTACCAAATGCACATTGCTCACCTTTGAGACCATTTTTCCAATACCCAATATCTTTGTCACGAGTTTGTATAAACTAATAAATTTCTTGGGGCTTGCCTCTCGTTGTTTTGGTACGGTTTCAAGTATTTGGTTATGTCCGATAGGTGGTAGTCCAACCACTCGACTCCACTAATTCCAGTCGGTTTGGACCTGTGTATCTTGTAGTTGAGTAAGTGTGCTTGTTTCAAAGCAGTAGGGTTTCTGAATACCAGCAGCTATCCCAAAACCAGGTAGGAAGCTAGTTGGTTGCAATGTGAAAATAATAAAGTGATAATTCGGGTGATAAGAGATTACTAATCCAAAAATAAATTATTTATTTTTTTAATTAATACTGTGTAAGAAGACGGAGTTGAAACAATTAAAGGGGAATGGACATGACAATAAGAGAAATAAGAAGTAGTTACTTGTTATGCGATAATTATAACTGTGTCAATTTATGAGCCATGCATCGGACATCAGTCAGCTGCAACGTAGGACCACGCACATATATGCATCGGTCCAAGTTACCATACCGCGTTAGCACAACAAGATAAACACCTCATTCATAGAAGTAGTTGATTCAGTGGTGGTAATATATAAAAGAAAGATTGCGTATAAAGAGATAGTACAGGGAGATAGAATTAGTTCGTAGAAAGAAAGATACGAAGCGATTTTATTCTCTTAGCTTAAAGGAAGACAGAGAGTGTATACACCTACGCCATTGTGATCGAATCGGAGTCATGTCACTAAGAGTCTCCAACCATTGGTTACGATAGTCACGCGAACTTCAACCAGGTAGTCTGCATCTACCAACACGGCTCAGACCAGAAGTTAGTGACTTCAAGCACTGATGCCACGTTTTGGTTTGGCCGCCCTTTAACTTTCTTCCAATTATCCCTAACACCGGTTAGCATTGCGCGTCGTGGTAATCGGTGTTCAGGCATACGCAACACGTGGCCCAACCATCTCAGTCGATGAAGATTCATAACTTTATCAACTAATTTACCATCATTCCCTAATACCCTACGTCTAACCTCACTATTACTTACCCGGTGACCCAAACAGATGTGAGCAATATTTCTAAGGCATCTGTGGTCAAATACTAGTAACTTACGAGTATCTTCTACTATTAATGGCCGTGTTTCGCAGCCGTATAGTAGAACGGAACGATCTGCCGCGCAGTACACTCGTCCCTTAATTGATAGACGGATATCTCGCCTGCGCCACAGGTGACGTAAGTTGGCGAAAGCCAAACGAGCTTTTCGAATCCGTGCTGAGATTTCGTCAGACACCAACCCATTTGGGCTGATCAGACTTAAATATTGGGACGATAAGTGATTGTGACCAGTCAGATGGGATTATGTCCAACTCCCAGTTTTTAACTAAAATATTAGTCAACCTAGTCGCTAAAATTGGACCACCATCCTTAAATACCTCTGGAACTAATCCATCTGAACCAGCTGCCCTTCCTCGTTTTAGATTAACTATAGCCTTTTGAACTTCAGCTAGAGTTGGTGGACTTACTTCAATGTTCCATTTACACTATCTGGGAATGGTGGGTAGTTGTAGAGTAGCTGAAGGCCAACTGAACTGTTCTCTAAAATGTTCCGCCCATCGTTCTAAACGTCTGGACTGGGAGCAGATAAAAACGTCCTCTTTTTCTGAGATAGTCTCACTTACACTTAATTCCAGTTCTTTTTATGAGTCTGTAGAGTTGTCTTGTGTTCCCTATAGCCGCCGCCTTTTCCATCTGTTTTGCTTTCGTTGGCCACCACTGCTCACAATCATTCATTAGACTTTTGGAGGAATGAATGTTTCTATTATTTTGCTATTCAGACATTCAGATAAGACAACTGATTAGAAACGTTGAATGTAATTGCTGTTATTCAGATGATGAGATAAATTAAATAAAATAAAGATTTCAGGTTTACTTATTAATTATTAGCTACCATGGGACAGCTAATTTTATTCCATCTCTCCTATTAATACCATTTGAATTTGCCCATACGTATAAAGTCTCGACTGTTTTTCTTTCTTTGTAAGAAAGATTAAAACTTTCTTGAAGGATTCTTATGCCGTTGAAATCAGTTGTATGATCCTGTTAGATTATGAAAGCACATCAGTCGAGACTATAATTTATGAACGAGGTGTGCATTTTTAGGGTCGACCTTTTCTAACCCCACCCCTCCTTGTGGGAAGGCAGCATCGCTGTCATGCTGGTTGTTTGAAGGAAACACCTTATTGCCATCACACCTCTGTACAGTCAGCAGTAGGACTTTGCCTTTGGACCTTGGATTTGTTGCTTTTAGTCTACCGCTCTTCAACTGACCTGTCTGGCATGGTAGGACCTTGAGGAACGGTTGTTCCAGCCAGTGTAGCTCAGTTGCTTCATCACATTACGCAAGCCCGACCACCACGTCAAGGTAGCAACAACGGTCGGGATGCATCGGACATAGCTGGTTTAAGAGGAGGATACTATGTCTTTGTCAAGCCTTCTCTTAAAGCTATTCACTTTAAGAGTTGTAGTATTCTATGGTGGAAACCTGTAGTGTGCAATCATTCGAGGGTCGCCTCGAGAAGCATGGTGATCATATTCCGGTAATGTGCTCCTGTTGGGGTGGCTTGAAGAACTTAAGATGTTCGCCATTATTAAATTAACTCTCCTGTATCTCAGAGAGAATAATTCCAGGTGCTAAAGTCTGTCCCCGTAAGATTTATATCTCAGCCCTATCACCTAAATAGTTGCTCATCTTTGTACTTAGTCTAAGAGATTCATACCCCGACAATATTGTGGACTTAAAAGTGGGACCGTGCGTACGTTTCGAACAGTGTTAGGGGAAACTTTGGGGTGACCACGCTAAGTTGTCTCCGCATAAAGTGGAGAGTTGTGTTTGCTTTAGCTGCATTCTCCGTGCACTTTGAACTGGTATCTAAGTTCTCTAGAGTTGCAAACCCGAGATCACACTCTGAAGAGAAAATCGACAGAAAATTTGCATGGTGTGTGAGTGCTTTATGATAAACGAGCCAGAATGTTCATGACATTGCGATAAATTAAGTTTTAATCCGTTGTCTAATCCTCAGTTTACGATAGTTGTAAGGTTCTTTTGAAGCTCGAATTAATACTTTTCTCTTTTTATGTGCCTCCACAATTTTGCGCCCTCTCCCGAGCTAAGTTTATATAGCAGATCGTTAATAAACATCAAAAACAGGAGTACATCTAAGGTTGTTCCTTGTGAAACTATTGATCTTAAGACCTTCGAACTCATATTCACTCTTACCTCGGTACAAAACATCACGTTCTCTAGGTTATTTCGCAGCTACGACCGTTGCTGCTACCCTGACGTGGTGGTCAGGCTTGCCTAACGTGATGAAGCAACTGAGCTACACTGGCTGGAACAACCGTTCCTCAAGGTCCTACCATGCCAGACAGGTCAGTTGAAGAGCGGTAGACTAAAAGCAACAAATCCAAGGTCCAAAGGCAAAGTCCTACTGCTGACTGTACAGAGGTGTGATGGCAATAAGGTGTTTCCTTCAAACAACCAGCATGACAGCGATGCTGCCTTCCCACAAGGAGGGGTGGGGTTAGAAAAGGTCGACCCTAAAAATGCACACCTCGCCTTATCCCACGGACATCCGTCTCCGGCGGTAAGGTCTCAACAAGTATGGAGATGCCCCCAAATGCCCTGGTATGGCCGAGAGTGGGGAGAGTTCGCTCTCCCTCTCGAAATGCTCTCACATGGCCACGCGTATATAGCCTCTGACAGGGAAGTCCTACTCACTGCCTTCTCGTGGCGGGGGTGTTGTTTACGAAAATGAGAGGACGAAAAGCGAATGTCCGGCGCTATAACCGGATGACAATTCTATGGTGCACATGGGCTCCAGTATCCTGCGGGAACAAATGGCGTATGAACCAACTTCTGGTCACCAGCTTCCATGGGACTGCATCTCCTCACGATGCTCCACTGCCTTGTGGACTAGACCTTTTGGTCAAAGGCTCGGGGTGTGGCCCCCTAAGAAAACCACCTGCTTCGGTCTGGGAACCCGGGCAGTATCCCAGCCCACTCACTAAAACTATGATGAACAATTTGCTTATGGAAAATATTCCTTTCTATCTGATTAACATTGAAATAACTCGTACTATTATTATTATTGTTATTATTATTATTATTATTATTACTCTACAACGTCATTTATTCACCCTCTCTTATTCCTACTTTATATATGCGTTTCGACCTAGACAGCAGCTCACCTATGGTGAAAATTCAGCTTTATCTAAACGTTCCCGAGTCACTGCCTGGTTGAAAATTGTATGTTACTACCGAACATGAGTACTGAAGCAGTTTTTCTGAAACCGCGTGCACCATTCAAACTGGCTACCTTCAACGTTCGCACACTTATGCAGGTCGGACAACAGATAGGACTGGCTATGTCTTTGGAAAGAC